AGATTGATCTGAAACGTGTTCAGTGGATTATTTATTGGTTTGATTTTCGTTATATAAGGTATCAGTATTAATTTATACCAAGGCACCACTCGTGTTCATAAGATCTGTCAGCTGTAATTAAGGTCTTAATACGAATAAAAATACCGGGATACAAACACATTAAGATAATAAATCCTAAGTAGTAATAAACGAGAGTCCTGAATTTCGCCGCTATCACATACCAAATATGCTCATTTGTATGTTATAAAATTATCTGACGATTGTTAGTGGTGTAATTTCAAATGGACAACTCTTTCTATTAAGAAATTACTTCAGTTTTAGTTAGTTTCGAATTTTTATTCATCAATTTTAGGATCCATTATATTAAAGTTTAAACCGTTACAAAGTACTAATACTAAAAGCTAATCCTTCAACACCAATGATCAGATAATTCGGTTTTGTTGATAAATATAAAGCCGAAATTATGAAATATAATAATGGTGACTCATTTTTAAGATGATGAGAGGCAATCGCTAGAAGAGCCTTAGATATAAAGATTGTGGTGAATGAGATTATTCAGAAAAGTCAAATTTGTAATCTTATAGAAACTGATATCCCTCAAGATACTCGAACATGTATCACTAAATATCACAGTCAAAGTTATCAATAGTGAACTTAGACTGATATAGAGATCGATACGTGAGATATAAATTTCTATATCTGCCTAGCAAATATTAAACAATTGATATCTTATATTTTAGATCTTATTATTGATCATACTCTACTGATAATGTTGCAATATGATTACTAGCTCAATGATCTCTATGTTTCGTCAGCTATAATTAACTTGTGATAAAAATAATGATCTAAATGGATAACATCTTCAAAAAAAAATTAACCAATTAATTCATATTTATCCAACTATATTTTGACTGAGCAATAATGAAAACCAAATTGATTTGTATGTAAATATATACAAAATAACTTTGTCTAATTTAAACAGTTGCATAAAGAACTAAATGTAGTTATAACTCATATATGATTAGATTGGTTATGCTAATATTATCATAATATTGATCTGTACACAGAAGAACAGTTTTGACTATTTATTGATTTTTTTTCACAATATTAATTGAATGAATTACTTAGTGTAAACCACTAATTATTCTATTACAATTAAGTTAAATTAATTATTTGCTTATCGAATTCATTCAATTAACTAACTGACTTCAATCATATAAAGAAAAGAAATTTTTTTCTCAAGTCTAAATAAATATGTGGGTCAAATGCAAAGAAATACATTTTTGAAGGGAGAAATAGCGACAAGGTTATTTAAGGAACGGGGTATGAAAAAATCAACCAACTAAGCTAGTATTATTATAGTAGAATAAACCAGAATAGTCCTGAATTACTTATAAGAGAAGAGTAAAGTTCACTAAATTTAAATGATGAACGGAATAGGATACCAATTGATAAAGTAGATTTAAAAGAAAAGACTACAATGTCTGTCTATAAGATTAAACAAAAAATTATTTACTAGTATAGGGGTTGCGGAGATTATTAAGTTTTTGATTGAGATCATGAAACGATTGATGTTAGACCACCACCTTCGGAAACCTGGAAGCACTGGACGGCCGTTCCGTCCTATACTAGTAATCAACATGTGCTCACTAGTGACTAGCTTCGTGAGGGAATTCTCAGAGTTCTAGTGAGAAGCCGTGATCAGTGGAGCTAATCCATGTCGGGTAGAGACAGGTATCTACCTCAGTACAATGGAAGTTGGTCGCGCAATTTCGTGAATTGGTTGATGTCAGACACTATCACCATTGGATGCCGGCTCAGTGGTCCAGTTGGTTAAGCGTTCGCGCGCGAGACCGAAGGCCCTGGTTTCGAATCCCGCGAGTGGGATCGTGGATGCGCACTGCTGAGGAGTCGCACAATAGGACGAAACGGCCGTCCAGTGCTTCCAGGTTTCCAAAGATGGTGGTCGAACATCAATCGGTTTATGATCTCAATCAAAAAATTAATTACCGACATTTTACATACTTTGATATTTAAGACTTAGGAAGCACACCAATTTCCAATCAATCATCATAATGATTATGCAAATATTACAAATAAATGGTAAAACTATCAACGAGAGTAAATACTATACACATGTCCTGTTAGATAAGACAATGTTTTGATCGGCCTAATTACCATAAACTTAGTAGGTGTGGAACATAGGACGATGGAAAAAGGACTGTTTACCGCTTTAGAGAGAGAAGTGCCTGAAAAGTAAAATAGGTTAGAGTTGGTCTTAGTGACCTGAGAACGTGACCGCGATGCCCAAGGGACAACTGCTTGAGGGCGGTCACACACATTTTTGTGGGTAATTTTCGTGTTACCTCCGTACTTGGTGAGACCTTACCGCTGAGACGGATATCCATATGACAAGTTGAATAGTGCATTTTTAGGGTTCACCTTTTCTAAACTAACCCTTCCTTTGTGGGAAGGCAGAATCGCTATGTTGGTTATCTGAGCGAAAGACCTTACTGCCGTCACACCCCAACAGAAACAATAGTACGACTTCACCTGCGGATCTTGGGTTTGCTACGTTCAGTCTTAACGTTCTTCGACGGATCTGCATGACATGGTAAAGCCATAATGAATGATTGTTACAACCGGTATAGCCCGATTGGTTTATCACGATAGGCAAACTCGACCACTCCGTCGAGTTCACTGCCCTATGTTCGAAGTTGACATACTCCGCGACAGAATAGATTTCAAATAAATAAAAATGTTCTTAGGAAGATGGAAATCGGATAAGGAGTTCAGTTTTAGATTATTATCTGAGATATGAATAAGCTTGTGTAGAAACTTTGACTAAGGTTTTTCAATAAAGCTTCTCAGTTGTCCTTGATATTTCCAAATAGCTGGTTGTGCTCGTATGCATGAAGCCTGTAAATCAAGATCGGATTGTGGTGTGGATTACTTATATTCATATAAGTAGTATATAACGATGTCAGATATAGAATGTATTTCAGTAGAAGATCGAGAAGGCAAGAACGGAAACGGAACGAAATTGGTATGAAAACGCATGAACAGTGAGATCTGAAACAATGGATTGATGTTTGCAACAGAAACAGTCAAGTTTGAGATGATGGATTGATATTTTCAAATTAACGATCTACATGGTTCTCAGATTTTAGTGAGATGCTCTGTAATTTTGTGTTCAAATACAATCGATTGTCCCCACTGGTGTTCCTGTTCACTACAGAACAACCGCTAAATACAACAATCAATATCAACAGTCAACTAATGTACAAGCTACTTCATTGTTGCTTCCTGGGTAACCTTTAGTTTCTATCGGCCTAATTATACAGCATTCAGTAACGTTTCGCAAGTGGGCCACTATATCCTACATAACCCAATCGCTTGACGACTACGTTCTTTTGGTCTGGTCAAAGTATCTGTAAACTGCACTTTTTCTTGTGTTATGACGGGTAATAAGTAAATTTGGTCGTCAGGTCTTAATATCTAAGGTCAATGAATGACGTACGAAGTAGGAATCTTACAATCATTTACATTTTGAATGAATTGTATTCATGTTTATTTTGTATTAGATATTTGGTAAATAATTATGTGACTTTAGTACCCCGACACGAAATAACTCGTTTTTATTTTATTCTGTCTACTGATATTCGTCTATTGAGGACGAGGGGATTTTATGAATAATTTTCTCTTTAAAAGCACTCACCACTCGGTCACATAAATATGAACTAAAGGAATAGATTAAATTCGTGACGATTCATAGAGTAGTTCGTCCGTCATAACATTTTACATTTGCCATTTGTCAATGCCAATAAGAACTACAATTCTTTCAGAAATTATTATTCCTGCCTAGATTTCTGATAGAAATTTGTAATCGTTTCAAATATTTTACAATTGCGAACAGGAATATCTAGGTGTATTCACTAACCTATATACACTGTTAACACATAACTTCATAAACTATTCAGTAATCTCCATAAATACTCAACAATTCGAACCATAATTTTATATTCACCAAAAAATAGTAGAAAAACTGCAGGCTGATGCTAAGCTCTGTAAATCCCTAGAAAATATTCAACATTTTACACCATTTAAAACTTATTTGTTAAATATTAATGAAACATTTGTGGTGTATGCTACTTAAGTTGACGTAAGTAGTACATAACACCGATCAGGAGTGGAATGCCTGGCAGCAGAATCTTGGGAAGATCGAATCTAAGAGAACGGATATAGGCAGTAATTGTCATACCAATGGAGGAACAATGAATTTTGAGATAATCGATGGAAGATTTGCAAAGGAAGTATTGAACATATGGTTTTTCACATTTGATGAAAGATTTCTGTAATTTCGTATTGAAATGCATTGATTGTACCTACCTGTTTTCGTTCACAACACATTTATAAGATTCTTTACAGTAATAATATTCTCCATGTACTTTAATCTAAGCAGACGTGGTGTGTCTTCAATCACCAAATAACCAAATTTAACTTTAAAATTTAATACATGCATTATTGTTATTTATTTTCGCAAATAAACATACTAATTTCAATATGTTCTAGACTGAAATTACTTCTCAAGAATGATACTGAGACATTCGCCTAAAGAATATTAACTTTGGAATGATATCCACAAATACTCACTATTCAGTTCGTTGAAAAAAAATAAACAAAAAAGTTTTATAACCCTAATTTAGTTTTAGACACGTTTCTTAGTCTAGCCATATTCTTTTATAACACAATACTCAACTGAATTTACGCATAATAAGTGGCTACCTTAAAAAACTAAAGACAGGAGTTCCAGTGCATTGGAATCAAAATTACTCTGATAACATTTCAAACTTGTGAGTATAAAAGTACCTTTTATCAACTAATTCTTATTGATGTTTTGGAAAAATATATTATTCTTAATACACTCATTATTTATATATTGTTTTACATATGTCTGAGTAGTCCTATCGAATTTATCGACTCATAAAAGAGCGAGATTACAATTAAAGCTATGTAATCAATCAATGAAACTGAACTTTATATACAAACACACACACAAACAGACACTCTGATCTGATCCACTATGATGCTATAGCATAAGATCAGATAAAGAAAACATTTATGGACGATTATTATCATTTTCTTTATTAAAATAATGATAAAGATATTGATAACGACAATGTTAGAAGACGAAGCAGTCGAATAATTGTTTGGAACTAAACAAATGTATCGTGAAAGTATATTGATATTCAGATGAATAATAAACTAACGATGAGAGGTGGGAGAAGAAAATTCAAGAAAACAAAAGATATATATTTTACTGATAAGTAGGAAAAATAACAATTTTTTAAATATAAAACTGTTATTTTACTAAACTGGAAAACTAATTTGTTTTTGTTTCTCAGCTTTGTTTTTCCTGCAAACCAGCAATAGAAAGAATATCACCACTAACTAAATAACAACAACGAGTACATCGTCGAAGCTAAACTATATACAAATCCCATGTGAATGTAAGCACAAAAGAATGTTTTTTATGACAGGCGCTTGTATTGCACTATTTAAATAAACAAACAGAAAAATTCTCTCTTATCTTTGTTCTTTGTATTACAAATGATGATGTATGACATCATTGTGACAAAAATCATGAGAAAAAACTGGACAAAATCTGATAATAATGGTAATACTTCGTGATCATATGAGAAAAACAAATAAAAATGGGGAGACAAATGGATAAGAAGGACTTAGTTCAAGGAAACAGAGCGGGTAACAATATAACCAATGCCCACAACCAGTATTACCATCATCGATGAACAATAATAAATGAAAACAAGGATAGTAATGTATAAATAATGCTTGATCTCCCACCTATGAAACAAAATCATCTACATCACAGATTTACATAGATTGTCAGTCAGAAGATGAGTTACCTGGCAGTGTATAGATGAATAAAAAGATAGAACAAAAAGATGTATTATGATAACTCATCAAAAAGAGTATTTGCTTTCAGGATGGAATGACTTCAGAGAGTGATACAATTAGTTAATTGTATGATAAATAGGAAAATTCACAGTTGGATAAAGAAGAAATACAAGAACGTATAGATAATGTTACTTGAAATGAGGTAAAACAAAAGAAATGTTAAAAATTCATATTGACTGACGAATTGTTAAAATTTTTGTCAAATTCAGCCATAGCGTCATTTAATTCAACGAATACTAGACGTGCGATATTCTCGTGTGATGTACTCATCCACTATATAAAGAATAATAAATACATAAAATAAGAGTATGATTTAGATTCTATGCTTTAATTAACTTAAGAATAACTTTTCTCAAAACGTACAGAATTTGATGTTATCTAACAACAATAATCTTGTTTCGTCATGTAGAAATAAAAGCAATTCAAATTTACCTTATCAGGATGAACTACACGAGCAGCTTTCCGATACTGACGTTTAACTTGTTCACGTGTTATTAGATCAGCCATACCAACATGATTCCATTGTACTCCATCCCATAATATGGCCGGTAGTGAACATAATAATGCTCGAAGATTTCGATCTTTACCCTCAGCCCAATCACAGACCTAATAAAAAACAGAATTATATTACAAAAAGAATTATACTGTTAAAAACAAGTATAACAGGATTATTAAGAGCTCTATGTATTTAGCTAATTATAAAGATGGAAAGATGTTCATCTGACTATCAAAAGACGAATACACTGAGCAATAGTTAACTCTTTATTGATATAAGAATATTTAACACACTTTTAAAAATACAGAGTATGAGTAAGTTGCAAGCATCTAAACATTAGTGTTACACGTATCATTGAGAATTTTAGGAATCCCTTTCATTCTGATAGCTATCAATCGTATATATCCAATGTCTAATAAATTTAAAACACAAATATGAACAAAAAACCGTATGTTGAAAAGGTGACTTTATAGTTAAAACGCTCGACCCAACCATGGAACTACATATTTGATCCCTGCTCTATATCGACTTAAGGAGTTAGAGAGTATCACTAGCCTTTAAGTAAAAAACGTTTGATTAAGTATAGAAGATATGGAAAGTTAATTAATTAATTAATAAGTCCCACAGTTATAAGTTACGTGAACCGATGGTACTGAGCTGCAATAAATAATCAATTAATTGAGAAAATATTCTATAAAAAAACTAGTTAAACTTCTTTACAAAGATGCTGTAAGAGAAAAAAATAACTTGAATAGTTATTTTTCAATGAATTAGCTAGCATATTTTCAAGGAGTGCTTGCTGAAACAGTTGTTCCAATGATACTTTTACAGACCTAACTGTAAGTTATTTTTTGATTCATTAATTGTTGCAGAATATATATGGATTGTAGTTAACACCGGAATTCAGTATATAAGTTTTTCTTATTTCTGGATCGCAGTTTTGATGTTCACAACGAGGCCCAAGCCCATCTAACTATTACTTCGAATGGAAATCTGTCATACCACTGAGACAATGATTCCGGAGAGTTATTAGCTTGTTCAACATGAATGATGTTTTATATTGAAGCACTTGATCCGCATTCGCATTTACCAACAAATACTCAGTTACATTCAGTCCTTAATGTCATCGAATGATGTTACAATCATACACCTGAGCTACAAATCTTCTCCACCATCTCGATGTTACAATTTGTTTACCGTTCACAAATTACAGGTCAATTAACTGTTATCAAGAAATGGTCTACTTATGCACTCCTTGAGAATTTTAAATCCTAGGGCAATATGTAAGATTTCGTGAGTAACGAATCTGAATAACAAATTTTTAGAAGGCATTCATCGAATCTTTAGTGTTTTGGTTAGAGAATTACGTGAACTACCAGTTGTAGCACAAGGAATAGTCACTAAGTTAAGAGACTTATTGTTAATGAAGTATGCGAAAACACAAAAGTTAGGGTTAATTTATTAATGTTAGCTATTTGATTACCTGTCAGTTGGTGTCTATGAGTCACAAATCATGAGTCAATTATTTGAGCCATTAAGTATTCAATTACTAATATATATTATTCAAAGTTTTTCAAGGTGTAAATTAGTATTCAGTGATGATTCATATTTTTGTGTGAGATATGATGGGATAAACTATCGAAATTAGTGTAATGGATCTTAAATTTACAACCCATACAACTGAAATTTAAGTTTATTAAATATTAAGCCACCACGATCAGTCTTCAATTATTATTATTTACTAGCTTTATAATGACCAGAGATTGTGTTTGAAGATTTGACAGAGGGGAAATTAACAGTTAATGTAGTATGGATAAAGCGGCAGTTTTTAATCTTAAAAAAATTGTCAACTTTAAACAAAATTGAAAAATTCTCATTAAAAAAAGTTACTTTCAATTGCTCTGGATCGACCGTTTTAGCCATTTTTTCACGACGAATCTGATTTACTGTTTTTGGTTGTTTATTATCATCTGTGTTGTTTGTTCGAGAAGAACCAAATCCACCAAGTAAATCAGAAAATGCATCTTTATTAACATGAGGTCTAGCACCAGTTCCTCCACTAGTTGGTATTGATGTAGATCCAGAAGTAGTAGTATTAGGAAAATTGGAGTAGGAAGAATACGATTGACTAGATTTCTCATAACCATGGAATAAATTATCAGGACTTTCCTTATAATTTGAAGAGTTGTTCATAAACTTTGAGTCGATACTAGCTGAAAATATGAAAACGATTTTTTCAAAAAAAGTATGAATGGACTTGGTCGACGGAATTTGATCAGCACAAAGGATTAGAGAAGCACCCAGTTGGCCAATACTTAGTGATTATTCAGTATAAATATATCGGTCCTACAGGAAGTCAGTTTCAGCCTATATGAATCCTTAATAATACAACAAACAGTGAGATTCGGCTGCTCAAATTTAAGTTCACCAGAGGAACCCAATTCCTTAAAGAATACAAATACGCCACGTTGACGAATGTTAACTAACATAGGACCTGGGTCCAAAGTTTCGAGCCGACTATCTCCAACCAAATGAATTCAATGTATTTTCAAAATGAACTAATGTTGATTTATTGGAAGAGTCGTTTAGAAACAAATTGTACAGCTATACAGTTGAAATTCATAGTACAATCAAAATCTACAATTGTTGTGTATTGATATAATTGACATCGCGTAGAAAAACATTTACACTATAATTTGCTCAAACGAATGTTATTCAAAACATAGTAACACTAATTTTCTAATCGTAATCTTTACAAGAGCGAGAACTTAGACCGACACTTTACTATACAGTTTATTTTAATCAATTCATTTAAGACTGTATCCGTAAATAACCGAAAATCAAGTGACAATTGAGTCCTCTATATTTCGTAAGTTTTTATCGAATTAAGCACGACAATGATAATAATCTTGTGCTGTTTTGTCACTTACGTCAACATTAAAAGGAATAGACATACGAACATGACAAATTATTGAATCCATGAATTAAGGATATCACTCAACATGAATCACGTTCATTCTATTAATGTTTCAGATTTAATTTCATTCACAGAAAGATGTTCTGGAGATTGTTGAAATCTGAAAGCATTGGACGGTCGTCTTGTCCTAGTAGGGGAATTCTCAGTAGTACGCACCCATCCACCGAATATAATAAAAATGGTGGCACAATGTCATGGATTGATTGAAACCATCGTGTCGGCTCAATGGTCTAGAGATTAAACGTTGGTGCGCTAGACCCAAGGACCTGGGATTGATTCACACGTACAGGGTCGTAGATGCGCACTGTTGAGGAGCCATATAATAAGACGAAACGGCCGTTCAGTGCTTCCAGCTTTTCAATGGTGGTCTAACCGAAATCAGTTCATGATTTCGATACACTTCATTCATCTGGTGTTTTAACTTAGCATCATAAAATGAATCAAATTTACTGTTTTTTACGCGTAGTAATGAAACGCAAGATGAATTATCTCATCACATTTGGAAAAAGCTCACATTTAAAATTATGTGCTGGACTTGGACCAGCAGAAAAACCACCCAAGTTTGTGGATGATCTATTTGATGATGGTGGGGTATATGTATTATCACTATTTGTAGCATTAGTACTGGAAGAAGTTTGATTATTCAATCGATCTCGAAGTACATCAGCAAAATCTGCAAATGGATCTAGGCGATCATGATTCTTGATGCCAGTAGTAGTAGTTGCTGTGTTAGTAGTCTTGTCTGGGATAGTTTCAACGTTAGGAGACAAATTTGTAAAAGAAGCTGATGCGAAAAGCGGATTTAAATTATTAGCACTGGCGCTGGCACTTAAATGACCACCTTGATGTCCAAAGTAATCTTTGCTAGTAGTAGTATTAGTATTAGTAGTTGGAGGAGGAGAATAGTCAGTAGCGGTAGTTTTATCAGGAAGAATGGTAGTAGTGGTAGTAGTCGAGTTGTTTTCACTTGATATATAAGAATTTGGTACTGAAAAGAAATCAGATAATTCTGATGTGGCTATACCAAATGGATCAAAAGGATTATTGGATAAGCCAATGTTGTTTGTAGTAGTACTTTGGCTAGTGGTGATGATAGTAGTGGTCTTTGTGCTTTCTGATGACGTGATACCAAATAAATTCTCCCAACCGAGATCAGTTTTTGAATTGACTTCAACAGATGAGTTGAAATTAAATAAATCATCAACAAATGATTTTTTATCAGTTTGTTTCAAATCATCTGAATTACTATGCTGACTAGTTGTTGATGAAGTAATAATTTCATCTAGTGAATTTTTATTATAAATTACGAAAGGATTCTGTGCTACATCAATTAAAATATGATCATCAGTATTGGAAGTAGTAGTGGGAGAAGTAGTAGCATTGTCAGTGTTTGGAAATGAAGATTCCACATGGAATCCAAGCAGGTCATCAGAACTTGCCTCCTGTAAAGGAATAAACAGGAATATAAACATACAGATTTGTAGCAAACAAACAACAGTGTTTACCACATTTATATTAGGCTAGCTAATACAATACGTTAATGAGACTTGAATGTGAAAAACACATAAACAAATCAATGCAATTTCACGATGTTATTAACTGTTAAATTCAGTATTCCATAAGGAATATGGAAACTTTTTACTTGGTAAACAGATGGTTGTTTGAACAGTGTAGTGGCAATTTATACAAAGATAATATCGAAGGAAACATTACTACTCATATTGTTGTTTTTCGGGGATGAACCAAAGTATTGTAACAAATTATTCTTCAGTCCCTAAGCACATTCATTAATATATGAAATCCTATATATATAAATCCTAACGAAAAATTGATTGTATTCAACACAGAAAATCAACAATATAAGACAAATGACTCAAAACAATATCGAGGAAACAGTTGTTTACTTTTAAAAGTCTAAATAAGTTATTGTTATTAACATTATTGATATTTATTCTAATAGGATTATCTATACAAAAAAGATTTGACAAAATTTCAATTTCAATTTTAAATAACTATCTTGTTTCTAAGCGTGAGTTCCCATGATATCACAAGAGATCGAACAAAGGCTTTAGATCTTGAGGTGGTGATGCAAATTTATCAATGAGTCATAATCCAACGGTTCCATTTTTAAACTTTAATCAATTCACAAGGCGGAGCGATTCTCATTTAACAACATCGGTGAGTTATGGTTTCGCCCCAAACATATCATACTTCACAGACCCCAGGTCTCCACTAGAACGTCGGAAAATTCCATAGTGAAGTTATTCATTATGCCGAACCAGTATGATGATGAATACCTCAATTAGAATAATTTAGTTTTCTCCTGAGTCATTCAATCGATTTCAGTTTTTGATCAAAATTACAGTCAAAGTAGGAAGGACAAAAATGTGAAAATAAATAAATTAAAACAAAAATAAAAAAATTAGATTACTCACCACATTATTATTATCTTGATTCTTGGATGATGAGAAAAAATCCCCACAGAATTTATCACTTAATAAATTGTAGTTAATCTGTTTTGAATGATCAGAAGAAGTTGATGAATAAGTATAATTATGATTCTTTGGCATGTCATTATCACTGATTAAGTCTGAGACTAAAATATCATTAATTTCTGTATTTTGTTTTAAATTAACTGTACTACCACCGATGGTATGAGTAGTAGTAAACAAATTTGTAGTGGACTGGTTTGTTGAATTACATGATTCATCGCTATTAATATTAGTGGTTATACAATCTTTTTCTGATGGATTATTTAATTGATTAGGTTCTAAACTATTTTTTTCATACATTCGAGTTGATGGTTTATGATTAAAACGGCCTAGATCCATCAGTTGTTTTCGAAAGATGAAATAAAAAGAATGTCAAAATAAAAACACGATTTAAACAAAAAAAGTAACCATCATCATCTTTTATGATTAAAACAATAATAAATGGCTGAGGTTTATCGCAACGCTTTTAATGTTCACTAATTAAGTTATTTCATCAGAAATTACGGCAATATTCCCATTCATTTAGTAAATAAATGTAGCAGATTATAGTACAATTCTCATTTAAGATTCCATTTTAAGAGTCTCATGTTATTCTCGTTCGTCTGTCATCGAAATATCGGGTGAAGTGTCGTTCCATACGTTGGAAAAGGAGAAACAAGTAGGATTAAGATCAAGACTTGAAGAAGGATCTTTGATGAAAAGTACAAAGAACCCGGTTACTAAATGAATGCAGAAATAATAACTGAAAATGCTAGGTATGATACAATTAGTGAACGTCGAAAGCATTGTGGATAACCTCAACCATGAAACGGAAGATGTCTCTGAAATTAAAAGAAATTATAGAGGAAAACACATTAAAAATACTTGACATATTCCTGAATTACGATACAGTTTCACTTTCTAAAAATTAACCCAATTAACAAGTGAATTTTTTCAACACAATAAATAATCTCAGTAACTGAATAAACAAACTCATTTGTGTTTTCTAATTTTCAAGGTAAATGAAATTATTCAGAGGAATAATCACCGAGAAAAGTTACATATTGAAGATAAGTTGGCTAGTCAAAAGTATATTTTGATACTTTATGAATTGATTTATACTGCTTAGCTAACCAAATCAAAACCTGATATATATTGGATATAAGCAATACATTTACGTTTTGAATTATTACAATTATTATTATACCTGTCATGGTTATTTAACAAGGAGAGCTAATTTTAATAGGAAATTATTTACATAGCTGATGCTCACAATATGAATATACGATTGAATTCATTTTGCTCAAGAACAGTATCAATGATCATCATTTTATAAATAATGCAATACAAACACAGTGAAAATTCGTCAAATATGTATGCATAAAACCATTCTATGTATTCTTATTTACCGTAATCAGATAAGATATTTTTCAGTTCATCATGATTTGATACACAGAGTTTAGGACTAAGTAGATCATTTGATGGCAAAGTTTCCCACGGATAAACAAGATTGTCACTTTGTCTTGGTCTTTCAGTTGGTGAAACCATAAGTTCCAATGTAACATGAAAACTTTCAGCATAACGACTAGTGAAACCGGCAAAGCTGCTACTATTATCTAGATGATCTAAATCGGATCTGTTGAAGAGAAATTGAGAAAAAACAAAAAGTAATATGTAATGATGCATAGGGGCAAATGCTTTTGCGAATGAAAAATCAATACGTAGTGGTATATTAATCCAAAACTTGAAGAAAAGCATTTATTTATTACTTTCTGTCACAAAGTGATCTGAAGATGAGAAATCTATGGAAACCAAGGGTAGTATACCTGTCGTCAGCAGTTTTCAATAGGCCGTCGATGAGATTAAAGATAAAGTGGACATTATGAAAGCGATGATGAAGTACCTAATGTCAGAAATCAATGAAAACGGATAATCAATCGGTAACAATTGCTTAAAGATAAAAGTGCAGATATTTGCTAACTATAGAAATTCACCTGTTCAAGAATTCAGTGCAAAAAAGCACAAAGCGATTCATTTTGTGGAAGATGTGTTAAATATGATTAGCATTATCTACGTGAAATTTTTAAATGATATTAGATCGTTGTTTACAAACAGCTATAATAACAGCTTACATCGGATCGTTCCTTTCCATTTTATTAAATTTAATGTACATAAGTCAAGTCAACAAAAGTGCTACCGAATCATTTTCCATTCAATTAGACCGATGTGTTATAAAGAAAACCTAATGTAAAGTGGGGTAAGAATGATTACGGATGAATATTTATGTAGTATTTCGCATTGTTCAAATTATATCCGTATGCAATAGAAGACTAGAAATACAAACAAAACAAAACAGGAATTTTCATTTCTGAATTCGCTATATATAAAGGGCATAATGAATTTAATGACAGTAAAAAACAAATGGATATCAAAATATATGTCAAGTAGTGCATACTTGGAAACTGGCGACTTTTTATCTCAATAGTACATAAATTATCTGTCTATGAGAGATATTTTCAGTCCAGTTAATGTATAACATTTATTTTTCTGAATAAAAATTGTATTTCTATTAAACGTTAGACAGTGAAATGAAGCTAAAATTGGAACAAAAGTTGACATTTAATGGTTTAATTTAAAACTATCATAGGTCATTTCCATTCTTGGAGTCTTCAATTAGCTAACTTGAGTTTACAAGAGATGATGTAACAATTCGGTGACCAAGTGTACATATATTTACTTTCTCATAAAGCAAACAATTAGATACAATCGGTTTATATAGTGCTTATTTGCTAACTGAAAAAAAGACAGGAGAATCCTAATTAGAACCACATCAATATACTGACTGAAACATGTTTCACATTATTAGACAAAAACTTGGGATTTTCTTTATAATCAGTTTGGTGTCTACAATGTGCGCCATAACCATTGTTGTCAATGAAAAATTGTAGCGTTTTGTTCCTCAAGCCCACATTTCTACATTTAGACACAAAACGTTAGACATGTTAGTTTCAAATCACAATAATTGTACGACAAACTACAAATGGTAATAATAATATGTGGTTATTATTTCAACGTCTACCTATCCATGTTCAACCTAGTTACTATGTTGAACTACTGACTAGAACTTTTGTTATTCTTATTATTACAACTAGTACACATCTCTTCTTACTATGAATTAATACTTTTTACCAATTATGTGTAGTTATGCGATCTACTTCATTGTAATCATTGACTCATAAATGTCCTTGATTAGTTTTATTTTTTTTAAGTTTAAACAGCGATTAAAGAGGTTATGTGATCAGTCACAAGGTCAGTTCATATTGTACAGACAATTCATATTATGCCTGAGACACAATGAAGTATGAATCAATAATCTAAGGTACATGCTATTAGACTTGAATACAATTTAAATTATATTGCCAATAAATGTAATAGTTTGTACAAGAGATTTAGCAGATATACATTGTTTCTCATAAAGATTACCATCTTAACAATTTAATATTATTACGTAGAAAAACCCACATTTACACATTTGATGTTAAACACGTAAAGAGATCGGAAAAAAATCAATTTCTCAAAAATCAAAAAGAAAAACCACTTCCTAAAATCTATATATAAAATGACTTACTTAAAATAAATTAGTTCAGTTAAATTATGTTCTACAAATCCAGTGTGTAATTGGAACTGAGCGATCTTCACTGAACTGATCTATAACAAAAGAATAATATGAGAGGAGCAACACATATCCACACATGTCATTGACAACATACACTTTTTTCAACGAAAAAAATGAAGATGCAAGTTTGTGATACAAAAATAATAAGCCGGAATTAATATAAGTTTAGTAAAAGTTCAGCATAGAGACGAACCTGAATGGCTCCTAAAATGACTATGTAAATTAAAGTCAATAGACAGTCAATCAGCGGAGATTCTGTGTAAGTATTTTACAAAAGAACTTGTGAGACCTGTTAGTGGTTTTATAAAGTTTAGTAATTTTCTATGGTTTGTTATCATTTTTTTGTAGAAGTACCACTACATAAAGCAGTATAAATCTGAAAGGGAAATTATTCACGTTAAGTTAATTTTTGGATTTTTCTCATAACCTTAAAAAGTTTCAGAATATAAGTTTATCATTGCTTACAAAATCCTTATTGATCAATTTGTTCGAGTTAAAGAGATGGAATGGTAAGTCACCCATGATTGTCACCATAATGACATGAACAATTTATGCGAGAAAATCGTCATCTATTTCAACGTTCCTATTATACTTGCCTATCAATTATAATTCAGTTAATCATTAATAAAATAATCTCTTTGCAAATTTACCATAATCAAAGTAAATGACAAAGAGTGATTCATTTTCTGTAAAATTGACAGATAATACATTGAGCAGTTAATAAGTTGAACATTATCATTTTTACTTTACGAAAAGAAGAACTTTCCCAACTAAATTTAAGCATTCTAAACACTAGACAGAAGGTATTTCTATTGTATATATTTTTTGTGATGGAGGATCAAATCTATTGAACTTTTAATTTCGGCACAAAACTTGGAGAAAATTTCCTCTACTCTGATTGTTTCCTTTACTCATACTATGCTTTAACTATAATTATCGAATAACAAATTATTTATTTAAAAGGAAATCACAAAAAGAAACTAATAATTTACATAATAAATAAATAATAAAATCAATTATTTAGGCAAAGTAGACCGAATTGATAATGATTGGTTCATAAGATAAAAATAACTGTCATTTTAATGAACTTAGATTGATAGTTGAACGAGTGCATACACACATGTGAAACATATTGAAGTAATTAATCTTATGTAACAATGTAATCTTATATTCTGATCTGGCTTTTAATAAAATGAAGCTGATTAGTTCACAAGGATAAAGATCTCAGTTATTCAGTTAAACAAAATTACCTTATATAACCATGAGATTGAGATATAATAAAAATACTAGATGTTTCGATTCAGTCCATGATGAAATGTCATGAACACAAATATCATGAATAATTTGGAATTTTAAGTAGGAACTTATACATATAAAATACAGAATTTGTAATTTATGAAATTATTTGGCATAAATGTGCAGAAAAAACAAGTCGGTACACTTTACTCAATCAATTATTAGTTAACAGTAAGTAAACTAACAAAATGTAATAATGATTAAAAAAAAGATTTTATTACAGAACCGAATATATTCAATTACATGTTCAATCAGTCTAGTGTTACTATCATCAGTTTGATAACGGATAGTGTTGATCAAAACAAGAATGAAGGGATATATTATGAGTTGATCAGAAGTTAGGATATCAGTTAAGTCACTGAAGTCAACACAACTATTCTGTCCCCAAAAACTGGAAGTACTTTAGGTAGTACAGTTTCAGAAGGCTAACAGTAATCAGAACGTACTTACACATTATATCTATTGTTTACGGCAGTTCTAACTTGGCATTCTCAGCGATACTAATATCATGACTTATTCAAGTTTTTGTTTGACAATGATTTTATTCATTCACAATGGAATGAGCCAGTAATTACCGATGTAGACAATGTTAGAATCAACTGTACAACAGTGAATGCAATTAATATATCACAGTTATTGTACAATTTATCATTACAAAAAAGTACTTAATATTGAATAAGTGCTAAGGCAGTCACAAGAATAGTCAGACTTTATTAGAAAGGCTAGATCTCTTCTAGAACGATATCCGTTTGCCCTCTGATCGATTGTCGTATTCTTTTAGTTCGCTAAATTGCTACATCCTCGAAGGTCACATTCTGCTAAGATAGTAACAACTTTTGTACCGATTTCGTTTGGGTTGCTTGTTCTATCATAAATATCAAGTTACCTGCAATTCCGTCTCCTTCCCGTCTTAGCCGTCGAGGTTTGATGTGTTGAGTATGATTGACTGTTGTCGGTTCCGAAGAGAACCGACCGTATTAGAAAAGCCCTGTCGTTTTTGTCCCTGAATTTGTAACATCGTAGGCCGTACTGAACTTCGATAACAAGACACAACAATAAGTTATTTATAAGATAGTTATATTTCTTCAGATCTAATGAAGTGATAATGTTTAATATGTCATCCTGGATAGTACAATACAAGTAGATTCTTGATAAGATTTCCTATAAAATCTGTAAACTAAGCTAATTTGCATTTAGAAAATGCATTACTTTTGATAGGATAAATTGTAATTACTTCTTTAGAACAATAAAGATACTTGCAGTTAAACAGGGTATCATTCACTACTAAATTTACTACAAACAAAAACTCAGAAAATACTACCATCTCACATTTCAGCAGTATGCAAACAATTTGAACACGAAATAAGTGTGCTGTTATACAATGCAAACCTAACCCAGATGTTCAGAAAGTCGATTTGGTGTACACGCAAGAATAGATTATTTAAAAATTGACTTTTACACAATTATAAAATAGAATTTCCAAATGATATTGTAAACAACGGATGGATTATATTTCAAAGTAAAATTACCAGTGTTTTAGAGTAAAATGAATAATTACTGTTGGGAGTAAGTGAATTTTTTAAGTATAAAAAATATGAAACATAGGTAATAATATTTGTAAACAAAAGGGTATGAAAGTAAATACGGTAGATATTACCTTGCCACGTCCAGCAAATGAAGATCGACAATGATAAATGATAACTGTAAGATCACCTAAGACAGTTAATCCATTCAAAAGTATTTGGATCTTTCCATCTTCAAGAACATAGGATCTATCACAAAATAAAGACAAAACAAGTACAAATAATTATTATAAAAACACGTAAAAGTCGAAACTAATAAAATTTATGTCGTCAGATTATCTGTTGCCTCAAAGGCATTCGATCATTTGATTGTCAACCACTAATTTGCTGATTCAGACTAAAACACTAAGTATTATTACTAGGTTTCACAAAAAATTTACTGTGTACTGAGCTGCACTAATGTAATGACGTTTTTCTTCTGCACAATAGTTGACGTATCAGCCACTTGACGGAAATAAATTATCGTTTTTAAATTATTGTTTAGGACACAACAAAAGAAGAAAGGAAAGCGAGATTTATTGTCTTATTTTTCATGGATATCAACCGATGCACAGGAATAAACGTCAGTCATTTATAAGTAACATCAACGTACTCAGTGGATTGGAAATGAAACTGTACTCATTAGTGTAAATGTTTCCATATATACAAAACACATAGTCAGAATCTGTTGGACCAGATAGTCTAATTTACTATAGTAGTTAGAAAACAACTACTGTGTTAAAATCCCACATTACAGTTTAATTTGAGAGGAAAAGTAGAACCATTATCCATCAAACATAGTGTGATTCAAGGTAAAATACACAGAAATTTACTTCGTCAATGCTACATTAATTTACCACTCGATAACCTACCGTTGTGGTATATCTAATTGGTATATTCAGATGGCACAGTCCTAATTAGAAGAGATAATAACAAAATGTAGCAGTTCTTTGAAAGTGTTTAGAATGCTTCCCTTTCTTTCTAAATGTACAATATTGCTTAGCAATTGGTTTGTGTTTTTACCTAATTTGGTCATAGGTTGTGGAATAATTGATCATATTGACGATTTTTCAGATCTTGTAGATTTCATGATCCCCGATGGATTGATAGCCGACGTGATTTCATCCTTTGTGCTAGGTTTGAAGCGGTTACGAGTTCACTTAGACTGCGAACGGAACAAAGACTTGTGACCATGGACCAATAAGCTAGCTGTTTGATACGTCCCGACACAGCTAACTAGAGGAAGAAGTCCAAGCTTGGAATGGCGAAGTATATTCCGCAAACAGCCAGAAAACAAGCGATAACAACAGACACAAATCAAAACGTATACGTACAGCACAAAACCGTCCTTGGGGAGAGTTACAAAATAGCATACTAAAAGACACAACAGACCGATAGCGTTTAAGATTGTACCAAGTGGAAGATACGACATGAAGACGAAAAGAGCGCTTTTGGCGCGAAAACAAAGAAATTCAAATTTTCTAAATAAAATTACAAAATTAGGTCCTTTTCCAAGTGAGTTCTGGGGATCTAACGTCCCAAACACTTTACCAAGCTTGTATTATCTGCATTTCAAACAAGATGTGTCCGTCTGGTTATCAAACGATGAGTATACGATGTAGTGATTCTTTATGGTTGTAAAGTGAAGTCTATAGCATTAAGAGCAGTAGACTGCTTGTACCTAATAAAACAAATATCTTAGAAAAATTGTTCGAATGCAGTGGAGAAGCTCAATTATCCTTCTTCTCATTTATTGACCCTTGCTGAACATATGTAAAATGAGACAATCTAAAAGGGTGCACAATCTTCTCGATTACTATGTTGTTTATAACTAAGACATAAAAAATCCTGCTAACATTAATCACCTCTATGCATTCTACGGATTTCCTTTCTGTTGTTCCCCTGTTTTGAAAAAAATAATGTTACAATTTGATTTAATTTTGTATTTAGAATGTTTGAAGCTTTGTCCTCATTCGAAAAATTCGTCATTTGACTTAGCCGACAATGAAATCGATGCTACCTACTAGATGAACTATAATAATCACAGAGGTCTTCTTATTTTTCTAACTTTAAACAGGATTATCGTATGAATAAGAAATTTGATTTTATGTAAAAAATATATTGATAAATACCTTAATAATAATAAACCCAAACTAAATTTTTCAATAAAGTGGCCTAATAACCAAAAACAAAAAAATTTCTGCAAAACAGTAGACAACAACTGAAATACATTTGAATCGGTTGTTTCAATCTTCTCATTGATGTTTGGGACTAGAAATGATCAGTCACTTTTTGCATATGAGCGTCCTCTGTGAATGGCAGTTCTAAACACCAAAGGAAAGATTCAAACAATCGATACAAGTGAATTAAACTTCACTGCATTTCACAAGTTACTAGCTATATGGACTCATGAGTCACCATCTATCTCTGCTTATATAATAATAATAATAATAATAATAATAATAATAATAATAATAATAATAATAATAATAATAATAATAATAATAATAATAATAATAACCTTAAATTATCGTATTCTGCGTAAGTTGAGTATACTTTGGTCTTTCCTTCAAATATTTCCACATACGGTCGACATCCATTTCTGAAATATTTTCAAGAAAAACAAGTACAATCTTTATAATAAGAAAATTGCTATTATAAACTCCGAATATAACCTTCTTTGATTTAGGCAATCTCATGGGAAAGTATCACTAAGCTTCAATATAGACATTGAAGTTGAAAAGTGAGTACGTAGAACTGTATATGGTAAATGGGTTGCATTTCTTTTTTTTATAAATTTCATGTTAATTTACGAGTCCAAATCCTCTGTATCCACTTAGGGGAGTTGGAAAACCCTGATTCAAAACCAATGGTGCACATGGACTCCAAGATCCTCAGGGAACACATAAAGTACGAACCTATTGTTGGTCATCGGCTACTATGGGACTGCATCTCCTAACGTTGCTCCAATGCCTTGTGGAATAGACCTCTAGGTCAAAGGCTCGGGGAGTGGCCCCCTAAGAAAAGTACCTGCTTCGGTTTGGACGCTCACAAAATTCAAAAGATTTGTGTGGCGCACATATAATTGCTTCCTCCTTGTACCAATGATTACGTGTTTAAATAAATAAATAAATTATAACAAATCAGTAAGAATATTTGTTCAAGTAACTAGTACCAAATAAGACAAAAACAGCGTCCTGATTTATACTGTTGGCTACTAGTCAAATTTAACACAAGTATCTGACTAAAAGGCAATATTAAACCGAGCCAATCAGGATGTATATATTCCATTGTAGACCGATCAATTTTAGTCCTTAAATTGAACAACAGGAAAAAATGAACTCTTGCAAATGAGACAGATACTGATTGTAAGAACTAGTGTCCAACCGGACTCCGTTGTTCGGCGAAAAAGGCATTGAAGTTTGAAGCGAAAAGAACTGAGTTTGAGTATCAATACAACCATCAACGTAGGGATGCAGATACACACAACTGGCGAGTCCGAAATAGAACAGAAATTGAATCTTGGGTTCAACTGTTAATAATTACCTAATTTAATTAAATTTATCTAATCATTACAATAACTATTTTTCACAAGTCAACGAGGATTTTAAATAGATTCAGTCAAAATTTTAATGTAGTAAGATTATTTAACTGAGATGAGATCTATCAATCAAAAAAGTACCAATAATAATGAGTTAGAATTGACAAAAATAAAACAAAGTGGTCTATATAATCCACGTTAATTAATGACTATTAAAACAAAAAATCGACTTATGACAAACACCAAATTAAAAATTCAATTATTCCTAATCTAGTACATGGCAGTAATAACAGAAAACAAGTACAAACTCATTGATAGTGCAATACCAACTACAATACACTTAGGATAGTTTATATATATATATATATATATATATATATATATATATATATATATATCGCTCACTGACAATCAAAACAAAAACAATTAAAGATACACATAATTTAGCATGAACTTATGAAGAGAGTACTTACTTGGATTTATTAAATGTTGGTACCGGTGCAATTATCAAACTGATAAGATTCAATGGGAAATGATGAGGTGTAAATACACGATTATGACTTAACTGAGCTACATAGTTGATATATCTGCATGAACAAGTAGGAAAAGAAGAAACAAAATCAATTAGAGTTCATTCAATTGATTTAGTTACGTACGTTCATTAAATAAAACAATCAATAAGACAATGAGTGTCAGAAAATAAATATCCATGGAAATAAAGGGAATAATTTAAACATGATGTGTCATTTAGATTGAATAATAGCTTCAAAATAAACACCCACTAGAAAGACCTTTTTAACAGATAGTTTTTTTGTTTGTAGAAATTCGTTTAGTTCGGAGATAGTTTCCGTTATCACATAAACAAACAGGTGTATATATGACTAAGACGCCCTGTACTCTAATGGCACCGCCATTGATCACAGCCAGTGTGTTAGTCTATGATTACCATGCAAGCTTAATTGACTATTCATTTAACTTCAAACAATTTCCATCAGAAAATACCGTCATTCTTATCAAGTCAGTGAAACTAGGAAAGTAGAGAGATGTCTATCGTGTATCAACAACATTTCCGTAACGCGGATGTTCAGTAATTTGTGTGTGAGCACAGTGATGATGACTCATTTTGTGTCGCAATCTTGAAATACTGGCTTCGGTGGCTTGAAGGTGTGCTACGAATATCATCCCAAAAACTTCCACAACGTACTTTATTTGACAACACTGAGACTGGTTGAAAAAATGCATTTTAATAAGAATTAAATTTCCAATGATTATGCAGTGAATATGATTAGAATACGCCAAAGTCTCTAACTAATTGTCTCAAAGTAAAGTGAAATCTCTTTAAACCAACGAGTGGGGAATTGTAAATAAATATATGATTAAACATCATGTATGCTGTTATTATAAATTTGTCGAAAGTTGCTCGAATCCATAGATTCCAAATATTAATCCTGTTTGTAACACTATAATTTGTGGGTTTTTTATACTAGATTTTGATTCTATAGTTTATTACTCTAAATGCTTGTCATTAGCTATTCGATTGACGGCATTGAGTTAATTCATCACACTCATCTCCTTTTACTACATGAAATCCTGAAATAAAATGAAATACAGTTAGTTTGTTTACAATTCATTAAATCTTTTAAATGCTAGGATAAGACAGTTAATGACAACTTCACGTGTAATATATACAGAAAACACAATTAATACAGGAACAAAAATTAGAACGAATAGTTTATACCTAATCTGTGATGCATTCAAGCCAGGATTGCCACGTTTCGATGCGAACAATTGAATTGCAGGTGACGCGTTATCAAATACCCGACAAAAGCATAATAAGGAACATGCTAGTACTGCGGACAATGTTTTACCATCGGTACAATGTATAACACAAATATTGTTCGATTTTTGAGCTAACCATAACCTTGCATTTAAGCATAATTCAATTAATGATTTTAGCGCTGGAGCACGGTGTGCTTCGAAACCACGATGTGATACTCTACCATGAAACCAATGATCTGAACGATATGGACGATTACTAAGATTATAAACAGCATAAGCATCTGAAAAACGTGCATCTAGCATGTTTTGCATTTCTTCCATGGAATTCACATTGGCAAGCACTTCAAATCCACTTTCAATGGGGAAAGATGTAACTAAAGCATAAAGGACAGTGTTTTTTTAGTAAATTCGTACAAAGAAAATGAATTAAATTGAAAAGCAAAAACACATGTTTTTACATAGATCGGCATCGAGTTGAGAAAATTGTTAAATCTCGTTAATATCACGAACCGAATTCAGTTAGAACACGATTAAAAACCTTGAAGTACAAGAAAGCCGTTTCGTCTTAATACTGTAATTCCCAGCAGTACGCATCCACGACTGTACGATCGGGAATCAAGCCCAGGAACCTCGTACTGATACGCGAACGCCTAATCTCTAAACCACCAAGTAAGAATCTGATGGTATAAAAGTCTAGTTTCAATCAACCAGAGAAATAGTACGATTACCTACCATTGTCTTCGATGCGTATCTTCCTCAAATCCGAAGTGGTTGCTCAACTTAATTGGTCACTGCTACTCACTATATATATGCAGTAAAATAGGTATAATCTAATAAGCACATCAGTTATTTAAATATTAAACACTTAATTATATTCATTATATAAAGATCATTACTGAGTAATCCTCACGTGCTTAGACTAAAGAACGTCGAGTACGTATTACGTTCACAACAATAACCTATAAGTAAATCATAATTTATATAATCTGCAGTGGCTATTTCCCTTATAACTGACTCTAATAAATAATATCCCGTTAACTGAGCATTTTATTTATTTATTTGAATACATAAATATTGGAACAAGATGGCACCAGATACATATGCGCCATACAATAATAATGAGAATGAGAAGAGATAAATGATGTAAGGTGAGTGTAAAAGACGGAACAAAAGCAACCACAAATTAGTGTATGGTAGAGAAATAATAATAATGGGGGAAACGGAAAGGTACAACCAGAAACAATTCTTTCAGTTGAAGAAGTTATGGTCACCTTTTATGAAGAAAGTAAGAGAAGGTTACAGCAGAATCGCCACTGGTTTCTATTCTGAGCCATATCTGACAAAGTCTCTAGCCACTGCGTTCCACCATCTCTAGGACCCCAACCAAGGAGTCGTGAAGGACCAGCACAAGCCAGTCCTATGCGGCTTTCTTTTATACCATGACACCATGTCACACACTGACCACCTCTCCGCCTTTTCCAACCAGTCCCAGTGACGGTAAATAATGCACGACGTGGAATTCTCTGGGACGACATTCGTAGAACATGTCCAAGCCACCGAAGTCGATGTTTCGAGATGATGACACCAATTGAATTATCGTCTCTGCACCCAAATACATGATGCCGAACCTCTGCATTACTAACATGGTGTTGCCACTGGATGTCAGCAATCCTTCGGATACAACGATGATAAAACACAAAGTCGTTGAACCTCCTCAACTCGGAGAGCCCAAGTTTCACAAGCATAGAGCAAAACTGCTCTCACCAATGCGTTGTAGATCCGACCTTTTACAGCCAGACTAACATCACGAAGGCGCCAACGACGGCCCAGATTGGCATAAGCCACTCTATCTTTCACTATACGTGCGTTGATTTCATCACTCACGCCACCACCAGCACTTATGCAGCTACCTATATACACGAACGTCTCGACTACGTCTATCTGCTCACCATCCAGGGTGAGTACAGGATTAGAATTCTGCCAGTCTTGTAGAAGTATTTTGCACTTCGAAGGTGCAAAGCACATACCATACCTACAGACATTAATTGCCAACTGATGAGGTGCAGGTTGCATGGCTTGGGTATTATCGCACAGTAAGACAATATCATCCGCATACTCAAGGTCGACAAGTCTTTCTCAAGGTGTTTGGCGGAGGGTGTAGTTGTGATCAATACATCGCTGACCAGAACGAAACCCAGCCTGATCCTCGCGAGTCAATCTTTCTCGTGTTTTGAACAACCTACGAAGTATGACGGAAGCCAATAGCTTAGACGCAATCGCAAGTAGATTTATCCTCCGATAGTTGTTACAGGAACGACGTGAACCGCTTTTAAAGATAGGGACAACTATCGACTCATTCTATGACGTTGGTACACTCTCTAGTTCCCAGATCTTTGTAAACAACAGTCAGTTCCCTAGCCAGAAAGCCACCACCACCTTTAAAAAGATTCGGAGGTAAGTCATCTGGGCACGGTGATTTGTAGCGTCTCAAGAATCGGAGTTCCTTGTGGACTTCCATCCTCGTAGATTGTTTCGCTCACATCAGACTTCTTGCTGCCAGTGGCTAGGATGAGTTGGAAGAGCTTCTGGTAGTTACCAGATGCAGCTGCTGCTTCCAGCTCATAGGCATGCTCCGACCACCAGGCTTCTCGGTCCTTACGCAAGCTTTGCTCGATTTCATTACGTAACGTCCTTCGTTTGTGGTCAAACTCACGGTCACCCGGAGTAGATCGACGGGCTTCGATAAGTTGTGAGGAGCCTGAAGAAACCCAGCGCTTATAATCGGGACGTTTCGCGAAGCTGCAAACGAACTTACCATTTTCATGGCGCCACGCGATTCTAACCAATGCTTATTTATACTTTTCGGTGGGACAGTAGCTAGCCTATAAGCTAGCTCGGTTCGATACTTATTTGCTACACAAGGTGCAATCAGTTTACTGACAAATCCGTTTAGGGCGATGAATTCGTTGGCCAGTGAAAAGTAAGGTAAGATTGGCGCAAACAACGGCATGATCAGAGTCCAGAGAGGTACTCCTAAAAGAGCGACAGTGGCACATCGGCGATGACCATGCCGGAAGTTACTGCTAGCCAGAAACAGACTGTGGTCTGTGCACAGCTGTAGTAGACGGTCCCCGTCATCTGACCTGCGACCAACAAGTCCCCATCGGCTATTATTATTAAGTGAATGTGAAATGTGTGAATTCTGATTGGAGTCTGCACAGCTGTCATCTCATCAGGTTTGTGTGAGGGCTATGATACTGCCTGGGTGCCCAGACCGAAGCAGCTGGTTTTCTTAGGGGTAGACAAATAATAATTACTTTGATTATTATTAATCCTCTTTCTTCCAGTTACTCAATGTTAGTTTATAATCGATGTGTTATTATATAACTATTATGTAACGCGTGTACTCAATGAGTATTATTTCATTATTGTAAATCATAAAATAATTAAATGGGCTTATTACAAATCAATAGGGTAGGAAGTATATCTATGAGTATCATTCAATTGAAATGATGATTTGAGAGTAACAATCAAGACATCTAGGTAGAATTTAGTCAAATGTACTTAACTTTATAATACGGAAAGCTTTAGACATCCACAATTTTGTGAGTACAAAAACAATTTGTTAGATCCAACTTTTTACTATGGTTGTAATTTGCAGTTTTATTTTATTTATTTCATTGTTCACTATTGAGTTTACAGAGATGATTCTCATTTATTCTATTTTTCTATCACTATTATTATTACAAAGACCGTTTCTACCTCGATACCTTGGTTATCATTCCAAGATCTTCATCTCAACAATACTAACAGATACATTTTCCATCTGGTTGTGTATTTATCACGTTTCACACAAAACTAATCAAATTACAACTGACAGGCAATTATTTGTTGACCTATAATTTATCAGATATGTAAACATACAATTGTACAGCCTGGTAAAAGAACTCGTTGAAAAGAATTCCCCTACCGAATAAACTGAATATATTCGAATTATATGGCAATTTTTAAGAATAAATTTTCCATTATATGATATTTGTAGAAAAAACAGAGGGATAACAAGAATCATTAATGCGGATCTGATGATCCTGAACTCTGACCATTAAATAGGCGAAATTTCTGAAATTTTATTAAACACAGATGACAAACAATCACAGAACATGGTTTCAAACTATTTTTAGACTATTTTAAACAGTTCTGCTAAGAAAATGGAACTGATCGTTTACACCCTGTTCATTGCATCAACGATAATTTATAACGGTCAGGCAAACTAGGCTTTGTTGAAACGAAAAAGCGATGGGAGTCTGAGCCAAGTAATCACCCTAACGAATTATATCTCATTCTGTCGTTCCGGAACGCCGCCTGCAGCTCTTCTAAAGTTACTGTCGGTCCAAAGCCCAAGTAAGAAGGAGGGTAGGGCATAGGGACGCCAACCCCATCCCGTAGAAGAAATGATAATAAAAAACCCTAAACAGAATAAACAATTTAACTCATCTAAACTCTGCTCTCCGGATTAAAGGAAAAATTATGACGCCTCATAATGAACGTCGAGATTCTTCGGAAGTCACGAGGTCGATGACCCTCTAAAAATCAGACCAACAATTAATATAGCTACATGGAATGTTCGGACAATGTGGGAGACCAGAAGGACCAGTCAAATAACTAAGAAATGAGGAGATACGACATAGAGGTGCTCAGAATCAGCAAAACATATTGGACCCAAACTGAACAGAAAAGGTTAGATTCAGGAGAGATGTTGTTGTACTCCAGTCACGAAGAGAGAAATGCTCCAAACACTGAGGGAGTGGCTCTGATGCTGTCCAAACAAGCACGAAATGCATTTATAGGATGGGCATCTCACGGATCCATGATCATCAAAGCATCCTTCAAAACAAAGAAGGACGGAATCACAATGCATGTTATCCAATGTTATGCACACAACAATGATAGCAATGACGACAATAAAGATCAGTTCTACGAGAGGCTGCAATCGATCATAGCGAAGCGCCCAGGAAACCACCTGACCGTCCTAATGGGAGACCTAAACGCCAAAGTCGGAATGAACAACACCGGATATGAAGATATCATGGGACGACATGGACTGGGAGAAAGGAATGAGAACAGTGAGAGATTTGCAAGTCTGTGTGTATTCAACAAACTGGTTATAGGCTGCACAATGTCCTCACACAAATGCATGCACAAAGCTACATGGGTCTCACTGGATCACACTGCAGAGAACCAGATCGTTCATATTTACATCAGTAAAAAATTCGTAATATCCATAGAAGACGTGAGAACCAGGAGAGGAGCTGACATATCTTCAGATCACCACCAACTGGTAGTTGCCGAGGTGAAACTGAAGCTAAATAAACATTGAACTGAGTAAACAACATTACAAAGGTTAAATACAGTCTTCCTTCCAGATACTGACAACTTCAACGAATTCAAGATATATACTTATTTTTTACACCTAATGATAAGCTTGAAAGTAAAGCTTTTTCCACATTTCCCGCCTTTGACTTCCATCTAAAATTCAAGTCTAGTAGATTCTATGACAACGATTAGTAGTTATCAAGCATTAATGTACCATACATAACAAAAAAGAAATTAAATGTTATCTCCCTAAGTATTATGGGAAAGATTACATACATGATGAAATTATAATCACATAAGCTACACAATTCATTTTCAATTAGTTAGAGTATTGGATCAGTTATTTGAAAACCAGTCTTTTAGTAACTGGGTTTAATATCAAGGTTTCGCTTCAACTATTTCAATTTAGGTACTCAGGCAGTATCCTAGTCTTCAGACAACAATGAAAATCCATTGCACCTAAACTGTGTTGGATCGCTGGCATTTACACTATGACATCGAAAGTGTGAAAATCTGCAGTAAATTTGTAGTTCGTTCTTGCCGAACATTGGTGTTAGTAAATAATTGGAAATCAGATTATACTATAAAACTGTAACCAGAAAAATACAATCACAGAACCACTGGAGAACGAAAACACCATCGAGAATTCATAATAAACATGAACCCAAACTTAATTATTAACGGTATCAGATGTCTAACAGCGAGCTATTCTTTACTTCACCAATAGGCATCCTATATGAGTGAGGGATTACACAACACATTGAAGGTGGTAGGTAGAGGAATATAAATTTTATGAAACGCTGCACATTTGTATTTAAACCTGATGAACATAATCGTGGATGCTGTTAAGAAGCTTAAATAAAAGTGAACAAGTTCGCAATAGTAGGCAACAACAATGAAAAGGTTAAGTACGAACCTTATAGAAACTTCCATAAAATATTGACACGAATACATTACTGTGAGTAGGATTATTAACGATTACTAACCTGCTATACGTGAAGTGATAAACTGGAAATCAAGCTCTGTATTCAACGTGCTGAAAGATAAGTGTACAAAAATAGGGAGATGCTTTTATTATAACCCAACAGTATCATCAGCAAATAACTCAGAGACAATATTTTTAAACACAAAAGTTGCGTAAATTATTAAATGACATTTATAAAATTATTAACAAAAAAATTCTATAAGTAACGTTACCACCGATAAACTGAACAAGCAGAAGTTTGAGTTATTGATTGATAGACCGACGTAACGTTAATCTGAGTCTAAAACGTCGGGTTTATAAATTGGTGAAAGTAGGTCTATTATAACCTCCGCTAATTTGAGTATGTTTGGTGGCTCTCTTAGTGGTTGATCGTCAGTCTCCAAGGGATTATTTAAATCAGATGATAACACCGTGCAGTTAGTACCTAAATCCGGGTACTGTGTGTTGGGTCATAGTGATATTATTTCAACCGATGAAAATGTTTTAAAACACCAGCTTTGGCGATTTGGATATGTTTTACCCATGTCACCCCAGTGACTTTCACATTATGCACTGTTTTAAAACTGGATGGAAAAAAGAGAAGAGCTAGTTGATTTATGGGATGGCGCCGTGGAGCGAATGATAGTTGTATAAAACTAGGATACATGTATTAAAAACTATTGTTGAAACAGTAAAATCATTATAAGCTAATTGTATCACTAATATGAATGAATATTAACTTACCTTATGTACATGAGATTTCATAAGACCATAATTGCAGTTTACTTTTCTGAAAGCTGTTTAGTTAACCCATAAAAAAGCATACTAAATATTACTAGCATACTTGATTAAAGTATTTCTTAGTTATTGACAATACGTGGATTTGCCTGTATGTACGCCTATCAGCAATTGATGAAACCCAGTAATCAAAACTAGGTACACATACTTAAAGCTTTGAAAAATATACTTTGTGCAGACTGTTATATCCCGATGAGAATAATGAATGGTAACTTTTGGGACCCATTTATGGACCAATACTATACGTATATTTTTATCGTATAATTTTAAAATGACTAAACTATTCATATTCGTGTTCCTCTCATCATAAGCTTTGTTTTGACATATGAACTGTTATTATACGATTTACCATTCGTGAGTTATATCCAGTCTATCAATTACTACCTCCCATATGCATAGCCACTTTTGGTTAAATCTTGTACAAATGTTGTTTCCTATTTTATGGTACGATGTGAACTGTCTGATTGGTACATAAACCCAGTATGTTTGAAATAAATTATTCATATCACAGAGGCTGAGATTAGTGTTCTGGACTTAACAGGTTGGGTAGGCGGGGAAGCAGGATCGCTAAGGACTCTAGACTCTTCTTCTTCTTCTTCTTCTTCTTCTTCTTCTTCTTCTTATTATTATTATTATTATTATTATTATTATTATTATTATTATTATTATTATTATTATTATTATTATTATTAGCTTTATTCAATATTATAATTTTGGTACAATATAGAATTCTCAGCGCAAAGTATTTCAACAAGTTTCCGTTTCTTTCTTCTTGGTCGGTCCTGGCGATAAATATTGAGGAATCGCCAGTTAGATGTTAGCACTTCAGTGAATGAACAACTGAATAATGTACATTCTTTTCGTTGTACATTGCCAGCAACCATATTGTCTCTTATTGAGTTTTCTGTAACTTTGACAACGAAAGGTTGTACACTTTTCAGAAACGCAGCAGAATAGGTTATGCGATTAATAAACATAATGATATATTAAAACAAACAACAATAGATAACTTGTTGAAATATCTAGATGGCAGGAACAGGTAGCCCAGATGCTCAAGCAGGCCGCCCTGGTTTTATGCATCATTGGTCCGGTCGACAAATCACTGTTCTCTAATTGACGGTATCATCACGTTGTACATCAATAGGGCACAGGTCTAACTTATAACACAGTCAGTCAGTCAGTAACAACGTAGAACTCCGTACGTACGTACATCAGTTCGAGTTGCCACGCCACATTAGCATAGAGGTGGAGTGGTCGATTCAAATCCCATAGTGCTAGATGTAGCAAAATTATAAGCTGTAATCAGAAAATTTAGGGTTTGAAGATGTTATTCAAGAAGTATAATCCAGTGAAATAAATTTGGAAAGAGAAAAAAGAAAGGGACATGAAGAATTCAGAGGATTAAAATTTGGGAGAACACAAAGAGTGTATGCACCTGCGCCATTGCGAACAATTTTGAGCCATGTCATTCAGGGTTCTTACCATCGGTTGCTATCATCTCGCGGTCCCCAACCAGGTAGTCTACACCTACCAACATGACTCAGTCCACTTATCAGTGACTTAATGATCTTGTGCCATGTTTTGGTCTGGCCGCCCCTAGCTTTCTTCCAACCTACTCCTATACCATTGAGCATCGCACGCCGAGGCAGTCGGTCGTTGGGCATACGTAACACGTGTCCCAGCCATCTCAACTGATGAAGTTTCACTACGTCATCAATTGATTTGCCATCCTTATCTAGTACCCGTTTCCTAACAACTGCATTACTTACTCGATGGTCTCAGGATATACGAGCAATATTTCTAAGACACCTACGATCAAATACTCGTAACCTACGGATATCCTCTACTCTTACCGGCCATGTTTCACTGCTATAAAGTAGGACGGAACGAACTAATGATGATTCCCAATTGTTCAAATTAAAACAAATAAATAACGAGTTCAGACGTGAGATCAAATTGTTGAAAGTAAAAAAAAACGTTTTAACCACTCAGTAAATCACTAATGAAATTATGATTAGTACGTTTAGGATATAAATTTTGACGACATGGTAACAGGATTAAAATACCAGTTCAATTAAATGGATGTCAACACTTATGTTATAATCAGTGAAGGGTTTTGTGGAGATTGTAGTAATTTAATATTTGAATTCGTGAGTCAATTGAAGCTAGACCACCATTGAAAACCTGAAAGCACTAGACGGCCGTTTCATCTTAGTATGGGACTTCTCAGTAGTGTGCATTCAACTTTCTCACAAATGTAACTTGTGACTTAATAATAATAACTGATAATAAAGTAATATTTTCACTTCTCTGCCCTCTCCCCCAAACGAAGAAGAAAGACAAACGACAATTATTATATGATAATGATGAATAGAGTTTAAAACTATTCGAATAAATCAGTAGAATACTGATCGATAAATAATGGGCGATGCAATGATACGATATAATCAATTGATAATTCCTTACACAATATGGAATAATTGATGCACGATTTCCAAATGAATTGATATCAGAAAACAATAAAACTGACTAAGACAACACATTTTATTTTATTAGTTAACTAAGATGATTAGATGAAAAAGTAATAATGATTTGATAGTTTATTGCATGTTGCCCATCATATCCCAATGAAATGAGGACCTAACAATTAAACGTAATTATTGCCTGTTAATATTATATCGACATGAATGCGCACTTCTGAGGAGTCCCATAATAGGATGAAACAGCCACCCAGTGCTTTCAGATTTTTCATGGTGGTTTAGCTTTAATTGACTCATGATTTCAACTATTGAGATAAATGTAAATTGTTGTAATTTAAGCATAAATGAAGAAAAATGATAACAACAAATAGTACTCACGTAGAAACAGTCCCAATAACTTTAGTTGATGCATCTCGTATATTACGAATTAAATTGCCAGCGCCTCCTTTAATCATACCAAGCATATTACTCATAGATTGATTGGATAATTGTTGATTACTTGAAATTTGATTAACTGTAGGTGCTTGAGTTGTTATGACTACTGTTGATGATGATGACAATGATGATGGTGGATTAAAACTAACTGTTGGATTTAATTTTTGTTGTGAGAGCGATGTTGGAGGATTGGGTCTAGATGGTTTATTAGATGACGGTTGTGGATTTGTAACAACATTATTTTCTGAATGCATTGATCTCGGATGATAATCACTAACTTTAGGATCATTACGATCTATAAAGTAAGAGGAATGAGTAAATTTTCAATGTTTTAAAGTCTTTTAAATTTGATTTTAAGGTGAAGATAATTTAACTACATTTTTCCGTCAAAAGAAACACACTTATTTCAACGTATTCTGCAAAATGTATTGATTAAAATACATCCTTACAAATCATCATCAAAATGATGGGCTTGTGAATGCCTTCAATGATTATTTGTAGTTAAAGAACTTGTTAGGGCATGAACTACATAATTTAATAATCATTTACAGACTTGTGTATTCTATTTTGAGCTACATTTTAGGTGCGAGTGGTAATCATATTCTACCCTGTTACTCAAATCAAAACGAGATTTGAGCGTGCAGGAAACTCAGTGGTTAAAACCTGTGTATTTTATCATAACAAATTCACTGCTCCACTGTCTGTTAAAAGCAATGCCTTAACCTATATAAAACAATTCTATTAAGCTAATGGGGATAAAAATGCTTTTAATAAATAATAAACACAAAACAACAGGTAACTAAAAAATAGAGTGATATTTCAAGTGGTTGGTAGTAAACGCCGGAAGATCTTGGATCTAGCATTCATGCTAGTTGGCACATGTTAGTAAGGTATACCTGAAATCTTGAGGTAAATTACACACTATGTAGGACTCGAACCCACGTCAGCTTCAAGATTGCAGAAACACCTTGCTGACGAGTGTCAACTAAAGAAAACCTAGGTCGATGATCTCCTGTTGACTACTTACAATCTCAACATAGTGAATGTGATGTCAATTCCCTCGAACTAGTGCCTACATACTAACTTGATCAACAGAATTTGATCAGCACAATATAAATATATCACCATTGAGTAACTAATCAGCTGTAGACAAATTGATTTACTTGGTTATTCTGTGAGCATACTTTACGGTAGACGATAGTATATAGCTTAACTCTCAAGTAAGCATTTGTGTACTCAATGTTATAGCAAATATCTAAAAAGCTTATTGAACTGAGATAAAGATTGTTTCAGCGAATAGTCAAACGATAAATATCAATGTCGATATAAGTGAGTAAGACATATCGTCAAACTCAGTTTAATAGAAATAAGTATCTGGAACAATATTAAATACCTTGACTTCATGACACTCAATTTATCAAACTTGATAAACATCCTGGTAACTTAATCTAGCTTAGAATGTTGACTTACCTTAATTAATTAAGAATTACGGAAATGCCAAATCAAAGTACAAGTAAGACAGTTTTATTGTTCTTTCAAATAAACAGTTAATATTTTATTATCACCATGATTTCTATAAGCACTTATGATAAGAAATTGTCATGATTGAAAAGAAAAGACTACATAGGAATCTGAATATTAGTCACTGGTTAGGATACTGAATCAAATAGTTATTAATTTTCGGCTGATTTCTGTCTGACAGAATGAAAAATAACAGATTAGACAAAATCATACCATTAACTACCAGAATTTGGAACTTATTAGGTGAGATTTAAAGTTGTATTGTCTGATTCAAACAATTACTTACTGATTGGCTGGCTTGTAGGATTAGCTGTAACGTTTACATTACGTCTTTTAGCAACTTCTTCCAACAGAGGAATAGAATCACTTACTCGAACTTCTCTCATAGACGCCAATTCAGATAACTCACCAAGAATTTCATTTATGTTAGGACGTTGAGATGGATTTATGAGAAGTAATTGTCCTGAAAGAAAAAAATGGGTAACAGTTAGTTTGACTAGATTACTTGTGATAATAACAACAGATATAAGTCAACATCGCAAGCAACCGCTCAAAACTAGAAAGTTCTTAACAGCCATTAGGTCCCAGTGCGGCACTCCTTAGAAGTGCGCATAAACGGCCATAACCTTCAGGTATGACAACAAACACACTCCTTAAACCATTGAGCCGACATCTAATGGTTTACATGCTTAACTCCAACTGATTTGCGCAACCATTTTACGATGTGGTCAGTGGTTAGCTGTCCCATACTAGACAAGATTGAACTCTAGTGTTTACAGCTTCTCTCTAGAACTTCAAGAATCGCCTCTCAAAATTAGTCATTGATGAGCATACGACTATATATATATATATATATATATATATATATATATATATATATATATATATATATATATATATATATATCACCCTTCTGGTTTCTTAGGATTCAACATTTGATGATTTCTGAGAACTTGCAAATGGCTAGGAACATTGTATAAAACGTACAGGGTGACGAAATGTATTCATTCAGAACGATTCTAGTTAATCTACTTCGGAATATGGATACTAGATGAGTGCCTATAAATCACCTGTAATTACAAGTTAATATATATTCCGATAGTAAATGGCAGTGGAATACAGGGAGTACATTTTCGTCCATTTGAAACTTATCAGATGGATGTAATCGCATTTGTGTTGACGTTCGCAAAAATACTGGGATACTGTTAGTGGATGTCGGGACTCAGTTGCTTGGTGGACTCGACGCTAGAAACGATAGGTACTGAATCGGAGACTGTGTGAAAACCAATAATTGGAAGCAGATACGTCTAAAAGATAAACCCGAAATAGGATGAAGATTAGTATCCTGAATTCCATTTCTAACCAGAATCCGAGAATAAGATGATAAAACCTCGAGTATTGTTTACTAACTTAGTGAGATATTACTCTGAAGTACACTTAATTAACGTGTAATGAAAGCAAATCTATTTCGAAATAGCACTAAAACAAGAGGTAAACTTACGAATTAAACTGCAAAATGGTGCATTCTCTGAACTTATTGATGCCGGTATACTATAATTAGCATTGAGAATAGCCAATTTCGATGAATCCTCAAATGGATGATAAGTACATGTTAAATAAAATAATATACAACCTAAAGCCTTAAATAAAAAGAAAATGATAAAATAAACATTAAAATATTGAGTAGTTCTATTTGTAATAAACAATGATAATAATGATACTTTCTAGATAAATAAAATATAGTTTCTTAAAAATACAAATTGAGTATAGAAATATTGCTTTTAAATTCAATCCCAACATCCCAGATGTATACTAATACAAACAGGTTTTGAACATCAACACACAATCAAAATTATTCGAATAATTCTGAGTCAATTAACAGTTTATAACATTTTGAACTACAATTCACTTGGTATTGTTTTACTTGAGTCTTCCCATTGATGTTTAGGACTGCAATTGATTAGTCTCTTATTGGCATATGTGCATACTGTGAGTATTGCCTCGATATTGCCTTAATTTACAAGTATTATAAGCAATGATGGATAGTAGCGAGCAGTGGAATCCAGGACGCGCGTCTCATCCTATTTGGGACTCGTCGGTTGGACGTACCTGCATCTCAGAGTGGATGTTCTCTCTGGGACTCGAATCCAGTACCGTTCACTTCAAACGCCATCGCGTTATCCACTTAGCTACTGAGTCCTGATAGCTAATTGCTTGTGAAATGGGGTGAGGTTTAATTCACTTGATATTGTTTTACTTAAATCTTCCCATTGATGTTTAGGACTGCGATTGATCAAGACTCAGTAGGTAAGTGGATAACGCGATGGCGTTTGAAGCGAACGGTACTGGATTCGAGTCCCAGAGAGAACATCCACTCTGAGATGCAGGTACGTCCAACCAACGAGTCCCAAATAGGACGAGACGCGCGTCCTGGATTTCACTGCTCGCCACTATCCATCTTTGCTTATAATTTCGAACAATGTTATCAAAATTTCTTTTTAAAAAATCCTGCATTATCTAAACATTTTTTTCAGTTTATTATTATAGTTTATTGTCAAACAAATGTAAACAGACATCACAAATCTATCAAGTTCTATTGAATATTAACAAGAACGATTATCTTTATTGAGGTTTTCGATTGATCTACAATACTAACGGATTTAAGAACAGTTGAGATATTCTAATACAAGCGGTCCTGTCGAGAACCTGAACATAATATTTTAAAAATTAGACACTACCATAAGAAAAAGAGAAAGTGAAGGAAAATCTTAATGTTTAGGCAGAACAACGTGGAAAAGCACAACTCAGTAAACATTTTTTGAAACAGAACCATAACCCTTCATCCGTATACGAAATTAGCAAACAAAAAGTAGTACCAATCAATCAGAAAAGGGTAAAAGTCATACGAAAAACTGAATTGGAAAAAAATGTATTCCAGATTACCGCTATTCCTAGTAATACTCTAGTATTATTAACAAAAATTGAGTAATCCCGTGATCAACTTAACAAGTCCAAAATGTTTACACCAACGTAATATAATCGAAGTGGAATAAGACTGAAGACAATAAACAAATGAGTAGATAATTGGGATGGTTAAATCGTCTATAGACGGATGGGAGGACATGGGATCATTAATTTCAAAATAAAATTAGGTTATAGCAACTAATAGCGGAATTCATTACATTCAGAATAAAATAGATAAAACATTATTAAAGCTCTTATGTTCTACCCTTGTTGGGGATGCTAGATCCCCCAAACTCATTTGGTAAACATCTTATTTTTGTAATTTCATTTTTAAAATCCGAATCTCTGGTTTGCGCGCCAAATGCGCCAATTTTTACCTTCAGATTGTATTTCCCACTTGGAAGGACCCTAAATGTCATCGGTTCGTTTTATCTTTTAATATACTATTTTGTGACTTTTCCCAAGGATAATTTTATGCTGTATATATACGCTAAAGTTGTGCTTGTGGTGATTCATGCCTCTGGCTGCTTGTGGAATACACTTTCCCTCTTCTGAACCTGGACTTCTTCCTTTAGTTAGCGGGGCTGGGACGCATCGGAATAGTTAGTTTATTTGGTCATTGTGTCGCTTAGTATTCGTTCCGTTCGCGATTTACATGATCTCGTAATCTCTTCAAACATAACAACCCTATAGACAATAAGTTTAGTATGTCTGGTTCAATAAACGCTTGCAACACTTTATTTCTATTTGGTTTTCAGGCTCTTATGAATCTACAACTTCGACTATCAAACGAGAGAAGTACAGCAATACGATTTACTCCCAAGATCATTTCAATCATAAAAAATAAGAAAATGTTTCTGTACAGTTAATCTTGAACTTGAGGTTACACAAGATTCTGAAAAAACTTTAACTTAAATGGTCGATAAAGTAGTTTATGGAAAAGCTTACATTCATAATCTTATGAATTTTTCTAATCAGCTGTAAAGAATTTTGACATGGTTTACCCTTTTAGAAACATTTATTGATATTCAAAAAGTTAATATGAATTCCCCAAACCTTGGGATATGCGATGCTTCTTACGAAATGCTTTCATATAGTTAAGGGTTTAAACGCTCTAACAGACGGTCGGTACTAACTGTTTCAACTGACAAAGTAGTACTTCTTGGAAAAATGAAAAAACAACGGTGTTTTTAATGCTAAAACCGGTTCGCTGGATACAGAATGTTTAACTAGAAAGTTAGAAAAAGTCCGCTTCTAAAGCAATGATGAACATGTAGTCTGAGATTCGAAAGAATATGCCTCTTAAAATTTGTTGGAAGATTTATGGATAAAACGTTTCAGTCAAGGGAACAATGATTTCAAAACGCTTGCATATTTTTTCAAATCTTAATAAAACTTACTGTAGTGTATATTTTAGTGTTTATATTTATTTAGAATTGAATTTAAATAAGTAAAACAATAGAAACGATCACTAAGAATAAGGATTAGAAACATAACCTAACACGATTTTGAGCAACTTAGATTGATGGTTACACAGCGATCTGACCAATAAGTTTCGATTGGCACTTAAGATTACACAATAATACCGCTTAATTAGTATAAAGATGGGTTACAGTTAAATGAATCTTTATTTTTAAAAATGACTTACCCAAATATCCGATGGAGTACCAATAAGATAATTTTGGTAAAGATCAAGCATTTCTGGAGCCCGATACATTGGAGTTGTGAAACGTTCCAGCTTAAGATAGCAGTTAAGACGGGGTAAAAAAAAACATGGTGAGGACGGAAAGAACGGACTACAAAACATACACATGAACCAGATAAAGATTGAATGAATGGTGAAAAGAATATGACATATGTTTTGAAAATCTATTAACAAAATAATTTATAACTGAAAGATAATATCAATGTCAGAAGACAATGCACAATTCGAAGATCAATCATTGGTTCAACAGTGCCTATTGCTATTAGTAAAACATGATACTTAACAGATACAAATACTAGTGCGGGGTGTGCTACTGATGTCGACAGATATAAGTAGTATGTATCATCAATAGAAAGTGGAATGCCTGGAGGCAGAAGGTTACGAAGATCAACGAAAAGAGAACGAGAACAAACAATGATTGGTGTGGAAAGGAAATAACAACGAAGTCCGAGACGATTGATTGACATTTTGCAGAAGGAACAGTCAAGCTTGAGGTAATTGATTAATATTTCGCAAATGAAGAATTTTCTCCGATTTTACTAAGGTGCTCTATAATTTTGTATTCGATTGTCCCCATTGGTGTTCTCGTTCACTACACTAGTAAGCATTCAGTACAAAGGTACAACTATAAGAAAGTAGATATGACAAACAAATAATTTGATTGATAAAATAAGAATATAATCTTTTGTATAATATCTTCATTTGACGAACTTAAAAATCCATGGACTAATATACATAGGAAAAATATTGTCAAAGTGAACTCTCAAGAAGATAGGATTTAGACTACAACATATGTCTTAAATATGTCTGATTTTGAGAAATACATAACTAAACAACAGGGATGAACTTATTTAGCGCTTAAACTCTAAAGTCTAGATAAGAGGTTGTGTAAACGATTTAAAGTGAAATAATTAACCAAAAATATCTTACTCAAATGTGGAATACAGAAATGCCCAAACTTTAAATATGTAAACTACAACACATTGCAAATTACAGAGGGGAAATAGATGAACAAACCTTTAAAAGAAACACTATGCACGTTTAGGGTGCATGTAGCTGAATATATATTGGTTTTAACAGAACTGCATTGCTATTTTAGTATTTAGCCATTGTGGACAAATACTCTTTCCATTTCAGTAACGCATGTTTGTAGAGTGAATCAATTTTTTTACACAATTAAATTTAAACCTTGTCAATGATTTGCCAACCGATTTGATGAGATAAATTTTAAACTGCACAAAATCTTCACATATAAAGATATATATATAATACACTAAATAAAGCTTAATGAAGCAAGCTTTTGAAGCTGTAGCTCAATTTAAAAGTTAAATAGTTTGATCATTTCATGGTTGTTCAAAAACAACAGTGCTACAATAGATAGAGTTAATTTTTAAAACTGAATATTAAACTCGCTGATAGCGCAACACTCACTTCTTCTTGAACACTTCCACGTTTTAAAGCAGTCCATGATTGATCTGGACTATATGTAATGGTAGTTGCACTACCAAAATCGCATAACTTTATAATAAAATTATCAGTAAGTAATAGATTTTCAATTTTCAAATCTCGATGTATCACAGGTGGACATTGACTATGCATATGTTGTACACCACGACAACATTGATGAAATATTTGTAAGATAACGTTCGATGGCAGGGGATTTTCACATTTTGATGCCGGTAAATATTTATCCAACTGACCCCCTAAATTTAAGAAATAAATTAATTAGCTAAACTGCTCAAATATGAAATTCTTGTATCCTGGAAAAGAGGTAATGATATTTCATTTAAGATTCAGTAACCACTGCTTTTATACGTTGTGTGAGATTTAATTTTTCCTAAAGATTTACAAGCAATATGAACAACGCGGTCAGTGTAAAATGTATGGTTATAGCACCCACAAAATTTGCTTTAATATTTATGTTAAAAAGTATTTACAAAGGTTTCACACTAATGCCTTCAAGTAGTATAATTGTTGTGACGCGTGGTGTCCGAAAGCAGATACTGATACACTCTGTGCTACGCACGAGCACTCCGCAAATGACTACTTGAGCGAGAAAGTGTATTGAGCTACAGAATGAAATGCACAAACACTTATTTATATATACTACTCTATCCTTAGTAAATTGACCCATTGACCCGAAGGAAATACACTTGACCTTTAGGTCACTTTTGATCGCCGTTGATTGACCCCATGCTACTTCTGATTGGTTCTCCATATCATCTTACCCTCTTCAAAAATATCTTACTCCTTGGATGTAACTGAAGGCGTAGAGGGGACTGCCGTCTTCTTGATGATTTTCTCGGGGTCTGGTTATCACTTCTTTCAGGCTGATCCTGATGCTCTAAACTGATTAAACCAATCAAACAAACTAGCTGCAGGCTCAAGCTAGGAGGTTCTTTATCTGAATTTAATCGTCTGTCATGGATGTGGTTTATATATTTCCCATTAGGAAACTGATTTTCGATTATCTTCGCCTTGGGTTTATAATCTCATCTCTCTCTCTTTGTGGATAAATGTTATCAAATGAATTTGAAGTCTTCCTTCCGAACATTAATATAGAAAGAGAGACACCGTTGGGTGAGGCTCGATTTGGGGTTATTTCTAGTGATTTTCTCGGTCAATCCCTCCCTTTGTGATCATTTTGAAAATCGCTAGAAAATGTCTGTCACCATTTGTGCATCATATGACGATAGAAATATACTTGGATGCAAATAGGATTAGAAGACTGATCGAGCATTTCTGAATCTAGATTAAAGATAATCAAACATTTTAAATTTTGTGATCCAGTCAAGACCCAACAGATTGAAGGATTCATCAACAACATAACATTTAGATTTGATTATTAGATTAAATCTGACTGTACATTTGGTAATTCCAAAAATTTTTAATAGGATGACCGATGCGTTCTTTATGCAATCATTAGTAGGATGGATGCATAGCTGGCCAAGTTCGTGCCAATTTTTGCGAGAAATCAAAGTAACATCGGATGCAGTGTCCGATTGCAAAGTGATAATACGATCATTAACATTATCGGATAAATACTTTGGCAAGCTTTGGGGGTCAGATTTCGACAATACATGTACAAAATTGATCCTTTTTGGCATTCGATAATGGGATAAAGGTTTGCTGGGTGTGCGAAATGGTCAGTTGCTCCACATTTTGCGGATTTATGTTCACTGAACGGGCAGAAACGTGAAGAACACCATGTCCCATAGTTCCAACAACTAGTGGGAGTCCTTGTAGAGCAACATCAATTAGAGTCATAGATATTACACGTTTGATTCGGGCGTGAAAAATTTCGCGAACCATGTGGTCTGAATGAGGAATTTTCATCAAACCAAATGAATTGAGATTTGGGCGTTCGATCGTTTTAGTGTCATTCTCAAGATTAATAATATGATGACATTCATTTGTGATATCTATAAACGTAAGACTGAGATCTGACTTGATTCTGCTTAAAATTCTAGTACGAACATCTGAGTGTGACAATGATTGTGACCCGCATACAAAGATAAGACACTCAAATTGTTCGTTAGGAAGTGAACGCAGCTTAAAACTTTAGCATTATTTATTAACAAATGCTGCATATGAAAAAAATCCTCTTCAGGTCTTTTAACAGTTTTAAGACATTTATATTGCAAATTAAGTTAAGAAGTCTGATTAGTAGAAATTTCTGTTAATTTTTGTACATTAGAATCAAGAAATATCGTTGGTTTTTTTGGCAAGATAAGGTTCGAATACTTTCCATATTCAGCTGCTCCAAGTTTACGAAGTAGAATTCTCATCTTCGAAGTGTTACTAATCTACATGTTTACTGGTGTCATTATAAAGTAAACTCTTGTTTTATTCATTTCAAATGATCATAGGTGAATTTAATAAGATCCACAAAACACTCAGTTTGATTTACAAAAACCATTCAGTCGTGAAAATAACACTTAGACAGCTGTGAAAAAAACTACCAAAAAAGTATTCATTATCCAGTAATCGAAACTGATGAATAATCATGCATTAGAATGCTAAAAAACCGCTGCATTCTATTTTCAATGAATACATTATTTCTAAAACTAATTTTATAACATAATACAGTGATTAATCTAAATCCAATCACTCATTCTGTGAAAGTTAAACATTAAGAACTTCATCTGTTGACAAATCTCTGATACAGACTTTACTGATCACAAACAAACCAATATCAGCTATTACGTTGTTGACTATGTAATATAGGAAAAATCTGAAAAATAGTTCACTGATGTTAGTAGTCCTAGACAGATTACCAGAAACTAATACAGTTACTGAAAAACATGTGAAAAGTAGCACTTTCACGTAAATAACTAAGGCTGTTATATCATTTTCAATATGATAGGAAAATTGCGCAGGATAAAAGGAATAGTTAAGATATAAAATATATCTATACATATTTGTGACAGGTCCTATATTGTTCATGAATGTCAGACTATCGTCGTGGCATAAACAATAGAGTGGAACAGTCAAATCAAGGAAATCAAAAAAAAAAAAAAAAGAACAGCAGCTACTAAGTACCTTTATGAATAATAGGATCAATAGGTCTAAAAACTTCACAGAAACTATTGACTACAAAAATATGGACATAATATAAAAAGTGTTTAACAAATATGGGGAGAGAAAATATGAACTTACCTTTACAGAACTCTGTGACTATTAAGAACTCAGTACCAATAACCTTCATTTTCTCTTTACCAACAGATGCTGCACTAAAAAACTTAAGGATGTTTGGATGACCGTTCAACTGTTTCTAAAGGTAAGGGATTCATCAATACGGTAATAAAATTTTATACATACATACCAGTAAACGAACTTCATGAAGAATTAAATCCACTGAAGGTTTGTCGTGAGCGAGCATACGCTAAACAAGTGATTATAAAAGTAAACAGATACCTTTAACGCATATGATGTATTTTCATTGACATCTTGAGCTTCATAAACTATTCCATAGCCACCTTCAGCAATGATTCTCTTAACTTTTAAACTTAGTTGCCCGACAGATATACTACTGCCAAGAAATTCATTTTCATTTTTAGTAGTGTTTGAGGTGGCGAAATAGCTTAATGCAGACTTCAGATAGTCAGCCATTAGAATATGTTCAAGCCAACAAACTGGAATGAATGAGTTTTATTAGTTTGAAATTTATTTTAATTAATAGAATGTCCCAAAAGATTCATTACCAAATGAACACGCATGAATGTTCCACGATAAAACATACTGAGTACTTTCGAAGGTTACGAAGCAAATTATAGGCAACATAGGAACCGGAACATACTTTCATTGATTCAGGTTGTCACACCACATTAATACAGCAGGATAAAATTATTAAGACGAATCCCATATCACAGTATTAGCCGTATTGTAAAAGCTTAAGCAGACAATATGAACGGGAAGAAGACAAAATTCATGAAATAAGGAAATATAAGGTAACGTTAAAGCTCAGGATCTGGTTGGAGACAAAGTGAGAATGCATCTACGCCATAAAAAACAGCCCTGAGCCATGTTACTTAATGCCTCTAACCTTTAGTTACGATAATCGCGCAGACCCCAGTTAGACAGTCTACAACTATTTACACGAATCATTCTAATCGTCAATGATTTCATTAGGTGGCTCCATGTCTTGGTTTGGCTGTCCCTAGCTTTCTTCCAATATACTCATACACCAGACGTCACCCGTTTAGTTAAGCACTAGTTTGGCATACGTAATACATGTCCCAACCACCTGTCGATGAAGGTTCACTACCTCACCAACCAAACTGCCAACTTTATCTAGTAAGGCTATGTTTCATAAGTCGTAAAATAGAACAGTACGAACTGGTGAGAAATATACTCATGCTTTTGTTGGAAGACGCCCACCCCTAACTACTTTCATACATATGTAGTTCAGGCGAAAGCATGGGTTATTAAAGAGAAACGACACCGATAGACAATAGATTGCTTAAACTAAAACGGGTAGCCCAAAGTTTGGACCAAGATACTAAGTCAGCTTTTTGAGAAGACCAAGATTGTGTTTGAAACAGAAATAAATGCACTAGAAGATAGACAGGAATCACACAAAACTTAAACTGGAGAATGAAACCCAGCAAACAAGATGATAATTTCAGCGACAGTAAAGAAAGTGAATTAATGCAAGTGGAAACAACAATGGCGTGAGCTAAGCGGTAGAGTAAAAAAAGTGAGGATGAAAGTTACCTTGGAATAGGTTTTTAAGTACATCACAAAATCTTTTAAAACTAAATAAAATCCCTTCATTTTACACCAATCAAAGAGTAAATACCTATTTATGTATCTCAGATTAATTAAGGACTATTAAATGATTTTGTCTTGGCTAACCAACCGGCACCTTCCTAAATCCTAAGCTTAACTTTGACCACGATAATTTTATTTGAAGGACGGTGAGCAGGAGTGTGCAACATATCTCGGCCACGCCATTTGAAGATCATTCACCATACCTACATGTTCTCTTTACGCTTTAGAATGCTCTAATACACACGAGATATTCTGAAAACACTTATAATTTCATGACTTAAACCTTATATCCTTGAATTTAGCAGTTTCTCATATGCGAAAATTGACTAAGTACAATGGTGTAGAGTTTACTAACATTTTCGTAGATACTTGTGTATTTGATTTTAGGTAGTTGGAAGCAGTTGGTTGGAAAACTTAGACCTAGGTGTTAAAAAGTCAGCTATTAGTAATACTTTCTACGAACCACGAACCTATGTCATCCTATATGACAGGAACACTTTAAGTAAGTTTTAATAGCCTCCAGTTACTCTCAAGCTACTCATCCTCACCAAACAACCTGAGTATGAGGTCGACAAATGATTCCCACACTCTTAGTGAAGTTAGAAAGAGCACATCTAGCATGAGGAAGGAGATAGAGTAATAGGATCTGATGAAATGACTTAAGAGATCTCTAAGGAGATTGGTCAAATCTTGGTGGTTAGGATGACCGTGGTATTTTCTAGAGTTTGGAAGCTAAACGTAACCTCATCTAACTGACCTCAATTGCTGATCGTTTCAGAATTTTTAGAAAAGGAATAGAAGTCTCTTGGGATAACCAGAGATGAATCAGCCTGACCAATATAGTATTTAAAATATTAGCCTCAATAATCATCTGATATTTAGATAGTTTATAGACAGTAAACTTAGAGAAACCGAACTAGTTTCAGAACTAGATGTGAATGTACCAGTCAAATATTCAACCCTCGTTGAATTCTGGAACACAGAAATACCAGTTGTATCCTTCGAAGTTAAGATAGGATTTGATTTTGTCGACCAGGAGATTTCTTAGGATTTTCGTTTAAAAAAAATGTGCCGGAAAATTGCATGAAATTTGCGAGGGATGCTCTCCAAAATAAAACGTTTGTTTGCTAATTAGGGAGCGCGTCTATTACATAGTATTTGACTCTGTTTCAAATTATGGCTAGAAAACATGGCTGTGGAAAGTAGAATACATCTGATATCTTCGAAGCACTGGTAGCATGTGGGGACAACTAAGTGATAAATGCTGAATGTAGTAGGGTACCCAGGGAAAACGAAAAATCGGTTGATGATGTAATACAGATGTATTCATCATTTTCTCTGCTCTATTCCAAGTTTCAACATTACTTCATACTTTTTATTCAGAGAATTCATCCCTTCTTTTCGGAGAATCCCTTTATTTCCAAACTTTTTAAAACTACAAATCATACTATTACCCCATTTATATATTCATTTATTTGAACACATAAATATTGGAACAAGATGGCACCAAATATATATGCTCCACACAAAACAATGAGGATTCGAAGAGAGAAAAAAACAATAGCGAACAGATTAGTGTAAGGTAGTGTAATAATGATAATAATAATAATAATAATAATAATAATAATAATAATAATAATGGGGGAAACGGAAAGGTACAACCAGAAACAATTCTTTCAGTTGAAGAAGTTATGGTCACCTTTTATGAAGAAAGTAAGAGAAGGTTACAGCAGAATCGCCACTGGTTTCTATTCTGAGCCATATCTGACAAAGTCTCTAGCCACTGCGTTGCACCATCTCTAGGACCCCAACCAAGGAGTCGTGAAGGACCAGCACAAGCCAGTCCTATGCGGCTTTCTTTTATACCATGACACCATGTCACACACTGACCACCTCTCCGCCTTTTCCAACCAGTCCCAGTGACGGTAAATAATGCACGACGTGGAATTCTCTGGGACGACATTCGTAGAACATGTCCAAGCCACCGAAGTCGATGTTTCAAGATGATGACACCAATTGAATTATCGTCTCTGCACCCAAATACATGATGCCGAACCTCTGCATTACTAACATGGTCTTGCCACTGGATACAAAGATGATAAAACACAGAGTCGTTTAACATCCTCAACTCGGAGAGCCCAAGTTTCACAAGCATAGAGCAAAACTGCTCTCACCAATGCGTTGTAGATCCGACCTTTTACAGCCAGACTAACATCACGAAGGCGCCAACGACGGCCCAGATTGGCATAAGCCACTCTATCTTTCACTATACGTGCATTGATTTCATCACTCACGCCACCACCAGCACTTATGCAGCTACCTATATACACGAACGTCTCGACTACGTCTATCTGCTCACCATCCAGGGTGAGTACATGATTAGAATTCGACAGATCGCAGCCCGGATGCAATCAAGCATGAATTCTACCACCAGTTAACTGTTCTTCTCCAGAAAGTGCGTTCGACAGATATTGTAGTACTAGCCGAAGACTTGAATGCTCAGGTCGAGCGTCTAGGCACAGAAGAGAGTCGTTTAGGTGGCCGATGGGGACTTGTTGGTCGCAGGTCAGATAACGGGGACCGTCTACTGCAACTGTGCACAGACCACAACCTGTTTCTGGCTAGCACTAACTTCTGGCACAGTCATTGCCGATGTGCCACCTGGCGTCCTCCCTCTGCATCTCAAGTCTGGACTTAGATTGATCACATAGCGATCAGCTACCGCTGGCGTGGTTGTGTACAAGACTGCCGCTCCTTTTGGAGTACCTCTCTGGACTCTGATCATGCCCCTGTTTCCGCTAATCTTACCTTACGTTTTAGCAGACGATAAATATATCCCCCTGAACAGATCAATATCAGGAAATTGGTTGCCGCTTCTGTTGTAACTAAATATCAAACCGAGCTAGGTTTAAGGCTAGCTACCATTCCACCGAAAAGTATAGATAGGCATTAGTTGCAATTGCATGATATATTGTTCATATCTTCATCCTCCGCCAAATGTTAGAACACTGTCATACTTATCACAGGTCAACAATCGTAGTGTTTCTTGACATCAGGACTGCCTTCGATTCGTTGGACAAGACGGTTTTCTGGGATTTTTTATTGAAGGGGGTGCCTGAGAAGCTCATTAACATTCTAAATGCATCAGGCAGAGTGAGGGCATATAACCACCTTTCTCCATTGTTCCATTCATGCAGCGGGGTTAGACAAGGTTGCCCAATCTCACTTTGATATCGACAACGTTCTGGAAATAGCTCTGATGGATATAAATAATGGCAGTGTGAATCTCTTGCCTGGAAAACGACTCTTCAACCTTGAGAGTGTGAATAATATTGTCTTTCTGTGCGATGATATCCAAGCTATGCAGTTCGCAGTTAATCAGTCGGCAGTTAGTGTCCGTAGGTATAGCATGTGGTTTACACCTAAGTGCAAAGTACTTTAACAAGACTAGTAGCACTCTATGTGTTTTATCATCTTTGTATCCGAAGGATTCCTGACATCCAGTGGCAACACCATGTTAGTAATGCAGAGGTTCGGCATCATGTATTTGCGTGCAGAGACGATAATTCAATTGGTGTCATCATCTTGAAACATCGACTTCGGTGGCTTGGACATGTTCTACGAATGTCGTCCCAGAGAATTCCACGTCGTGCATTATTTACCGTCACTGGGACTGGTTGGAAAAGGCGGAGAGGTGGTCAGTGTGTGACATGGTGTCATGGTATAAAAGAAAGCCGCATAGGACTGGCTTGTGCTGGTCCTTCACGACTCCTTGGTTGGGGTCCTAGAGATGGTGCAACGCAGTGGCTAGAGACTTTGTCAGATATGGCTCAGAATAGAAACCAGTGGCGGTTCTGCTGTAACCTTCTCTTACTTTCTTCATAAAAAATGTGCGTAACTTTTTTAGTTGGAATTCTTTCTGGTCATACCTTTGCTAAGTGAACTGCTTCTCTTATTATTATTATTATTTCACCATCATACACTAATTTCTATTTGTTATTGTTCCCCTTTTTTGTACGCACCTTACATTATCTTTTTCCATTTCCATTATTATTGTTTGGAGCATATGTATCCGATGCCCCCACGTACCAATATTTATGTGTTCAAATAAATAAAGTTGCGGATTCTGCCCTTTTAAGAAAACATGGACGATGGACTAAAAACAAAATCCGGCCTATTTCTGGAATTTCATTTCCCCCATGTTTTTGAAAATCTATGAACTAGTACAGTGATAACTCCGCCTGGAGTCCCTCCGGGGGCTACTGCCGGTCCCAAGCCCGGATAAAGGAAGAGGGTTGGGCATGGGGTTAGCGTCCCCATCCTGTAGAAAACTAACTCGCTAAAAAAACGCTAACCAGAAAAAATTATTCAAACCTTTTAAACTGCCCTGGGAGTCAGAAGGTCTTCATTTAGAAGAATTATGACGCCTCATGATGAAAGCCGAATTCCTTCGGACGTTACGAGGCCGATGCCCCTTCTGACAACCAGAGCGACCATTTATTTAGGTACATGGAATGTTCGTACAATGTGGGACACCGGAAGAGCCTTCCAAATTGCTGCAGAAATGAGAAGATACAACCTAGAGGTACTTGGGATCAGTGAAACACATTGGACACAAGTTGGACAACAACGACTAACTACAGGAGAGCTCCTGTTATACTCCGGCCATGAAGAAGAAAATGCACCACATACACAAGGAGTTGCATTGATGCTGTCCAAACAAGCGCAAAATGCACTTATAGGATGGGAATCTCATGGACCAAGGATCATCAAAGCCTCGTTTAAAACAAAGAAAGAGGGCATTTCAATGAACATCATCCAATGCTATGCGCCTACTAACGACTACAATGGAGACGCTAAAGATCAATTCTACAATAGACTGCAGTCAATAGTCGAGAAGTGCCCAACAAAGGACCTGACCATTCTGATGGAAGATTTCAACGCCAAGGTTGGAACGGACAACACTGGATATGAAGACATCATGGGACGACACGGACTGGGAGAAAGAAACGAAAATGGTGAGAGATTTGCAAATCTATGTGCCTTCAATAAACTGGTCATAGGTGGCACCATATTCCCACATAAACGCATACACAAAACCACATGGACTTCACCGGATCACTCTACACAAAACCAAATCGACCATATTTGCATCAACAAAACGTTCAGGAGGACTATAGAGGACGTGAGAACCAAGAGAGGAGCTGATATAGCATCAGATCATCACTTACTGGTCGCCCAGATGAAATTGAAACTCAAGAAGCACTGGACAACGGGGCAGACAGTATCACAAAAGTTCAATACGGCCTTTCTTCAGGATACTAACAAACTCAACAAATTCAAGATAGTCCTCAGCAACAAGTTCCAGGCCTTTCATGATCTACTCAATGGAGAAGGAACTACTGTGGAGAGCA